CTTCGGACTACAGGGTGCTGGTTACCCCCATTCCTTTGGCACGTTTGCTATGAGAGGTGTGATATGTACCTGCAGTAAAAGATAAAAACTAACTAAATAATGGAAACGATTTCTTTTTTTGAGGAGCAAATAAATAGTAGTTTAAATTTTTTTATTTTCTTGCTTTTACACCTATCATTTAGGGAACGCCTTCCTGATGTAGGACGCTGGAAAGTATAGAAAATCGTAAAAGGTCTAAAAATACTTTGGCATATGCCTGGCGTAGCCTCCTCTCCCAGAATTTATAATAAACTGTTGTGGGGATGTGTCCCTGGTAGGACTAACTGGGGTGTATCTCAACCACTTTTGTTGCCATTACGTTGGGCCACGACATATGCCAAACGCCACTGGAATATCTGCATTAGCGGGAGGTCTGTTCACTGGTGATAGCCTCTCCCCCGATGTTCCATTAGTCTCCAATGCCTTCATCTAGTAATCTCGTTCCCTTCTTTCTTGTTTCTCCCATCCTTATTGTTGTCCTCCCTGCCTCCCTTTCTTCCTCCTCCTCTTGGTTGCTCGTAATTACATATGATTCAACCTCCACCTCCTGTACTCGTCTGCTTTCTATCTTCATTTTGTCTTTGTCTCTGCTCCACTCCTCCCATCTCCTATAGTGGTGTTCCATGTGAAGCAGGGCCGGCCTACGTTCCATTTCAAGGCACGTAGATTTCTGGCTACCTGCAGGATGTGGTCTTTGTTCCTCCTGTTTATATTCCCCCAATATCTCAGCTGCCTCATTTTCAGTCGCCTGGTGATCGTCTTTCCTTCTAGTAATTCCCTTATGTGCTTTCTTGTGAGGTTGCTGTTTTCCATCACTATCCTTAGTGCCTTACGTTCCGTTAGCGCTGAGGTGTTGACTCCTTGGAGCTATGATCGTGTTTTACAGCAGCATTTTCAAGCTGTCCGGTATTCTCTTCTCTCGTATGAAGTTCCAGCTGGTTCCGTGTGTGACTCTGAATGTGTTGATTATTCTGTCCTTCACTGCGTTGTTCCTACTGAGTGTGCTACTTAGGTACGCTCCCAGATATTTTATCTTGTGCTTCATGGTTATCTTCTTCTCGGCTATTATGATCTTTCCTCCTCCTTTGCATTGGGTGTTGCTTCCGGGGTCTCTTATAATCATGTAACTTTTTTCGTTGTTTATATATAGGCTTGTCATTTTCAGGTATACCTCGCTGGTTTTGACGAAGTCCTCGACGTGTTCTATCTTGTCCGCGATTACGAGTAGGTGGTCCACGTACACCAATAGTGTCGGTAGTTGTAATTGGCCATCTGTGCTAAAGTTCCTCGCCACCCTTCTTGTTTGCCCTATGACGTTGTCCAGTGCTATCGCGAGGAGCCTTGGAGAGAGCGGACATCCTTGCTTGATTCCTATGGTTTTCATTTGCTCCTCGGTCTTCTTCCCAAACCATTGTATACTAGTACACTCCCTTAGGCACGCGTTTATAATTCTATTGGTTAGGAATTTCGGCGGTCCCAACAGCGTCAGTGAAGTGGCTATTGCTTCTTGCTTTATTTCGTCGAAGCCCTTCGTCAGGTCTATTGCTGAAGTCATATTTTGGTTCCTGCCCTGTTTCTCTCCAGTGTTCGTCTAGAATCCTACTGGGCGTGAATATATGGGCGTCCGTAGATCTGCCTTTTACGAACCTCCTGAAATAATTCGTGTAGATCCTTTAGTAGCCATTGTGATGTGCGTTGTAGCAATTTGGCCTGGACCTTATTCTGCCCTGGCATTTTCACCTTTTTCAGTCTTCCTAGTATCTAGGGGGGGGGGGGGGTGGCCAGTAATCGTTCTCCTCCATTAGCTGGACCTATGCTTACATTCTTCCTTCAGAAACTTCTCCTATGCTGTCATTGGTACATATTTTTTTGGTTCCCCCCTCGTTTCTTCCTTCTGTTTTTTATGTGCTTACACATTTGCGCATTCCTCTCCATTGGGCTAAGATTGGCGATTTTCTCTACAAACTCGGCGAATTCCTTGATCTCATGTTGTTCAAAGGCTCTATTTTTCTCCTCTCTGGCCTTCCTTAGCTCTTTCTTTGATTCAGCTTTGTGTGGGTTTTGCCCAGACCTCTTCAGTGTTCTGCTGTGGTTGTCCATGGCTTGCGTCCTCCAAGCGTTTTCCCTGCTACTTCCTTGAGCATTTCGGCGATCTTGTTCGAAGATGGTCTCCCTTCCCTCTTTTTGTCCCTGATCTCGTCCTACTCTTCTCCCTTTCTTCTTCCCTGTCAGAAGTTTCACATCCCCCCATTCAGTTCCCCAGATTTTCCCCGTGTCGTTCCCCCCCCCCCCCCCTTACTTTTCCCCTTACAATGTTGTGGTCCGATCCTACTGTTCTGACCCATACCCCTACTGCTTCTTTTCTTTGATTTGGTGATTTGGTCCTTACTATGTGGTTGATCTGTGATTCAGAGTTTCCTCTCGTCCAAGTTGTCAGCGCTGTTTTGGATTTGCTGCTGAATGTGTTTTCCACCCTCAGTCCATGTAGATGTACCATGTTCTTTAGCTCGTTACCATTCACGTTGTCTTGCTCGTGTTTGAGCACATTGGTTATCCTTTGTTCCTCTCCTTCCCTTCCGTCTAGTCTGCCTAGTTGCACGTTGAAATCACCTAATATGATGCCCGAGTATCTTCCGCTTTTTTGCTTTATTATTTCGCCTAGCTTCCTGAGTTTCGCTTATCCTCTTTTGTCCGAGGTGATGTGGCATCCTATAACCGTTAGTATTCCTATGCTCCCCTTGATTTGGGCCATAGATACACTCTCGCTTCTTTCTTCAAATTTTTCAATCTCAATGCCTAGGTGTTTCCTGATTACGATTGCTGCTGGTTCTCTCCTTCTTCCCTCTTCCTATCCACAAGTCGTAGTTCCTTGTAACAGCAATCCCACTTGTTAGTTTGGTTACCTGTAGGGTGGCTACATCTATTTCCTGTTATCTTAATTCGTCGTCAAGTAGCCCCCCTTTCTTTGGGTCGTTTGCCTCTTGTACGTTCCACGTGGCTACCCTCATGCTGTTCCCCCTTCTGCATCCTGGCTTCTATCCTGGTTATTTCCGCTCCTCCTCGGCGTGGCTCTGACTATGTTCGTTAGAGATGGCGGCCTCGTATTCCCCCAGCACCCTTGTCCTCCGGAGCTCCTATTACCTCCTCTATCATGTTTACTGCCCTCACCACGCTGCCGTAGTGGTTCCGGACATTGTTGCTCCCTAGTCTGTATGCTATGTAGCAGTGGCCTGTGGTCCCCGTTATAGCTCGCGGTTCGATGATATGTTTCCCCCCTTCTTCTTCGTTAACCACTATCTGTCCGTTGTATGTATTGGTCGCTGCCACCAAGGACTCGTATCCTCCCCAGAATTCCTGCTTTCTGTTATCCATGATGTAAGCTTCGACTTCTCCTCATTATTAGTATATTATTGATCATCCTAATTCCACTACGTTCCCTATTAATTGTGGATAGAATTCTTCCAGGTTCTCCCTGATGTTGTTTCTTCCCTAAACCTGTTAGTTAATATCCTGTGTGGTTCTGATGACACCGCGGATCCCCTAAGTTGGTGCGCAATCGCTCCGAAGGGCAGTCCCCGTCCTTATTTATCCTGACGCACAATTAGGCTAAGCATTCACATTTAATAGGAAATTAAAATCAGAGACTTTAAACAATTTCCGGAAATTCCTTTACATTTAACCGGAACGTAAACAAAATTAACTTTGAATACTAACTGAAGTATTCTGTGTTGTTTCGTAAAAAAACCAACGACCTTAAACAAATTTTCTAATGAACTTTCATTAATAACGAGACCCTCAAGTCCATTCTAAAAATCCTTTTTCAAATGTACCCCGTCCTAACGGACGTAGTTAACACAGCATTTATCACCTCTTAAATTGAGCAACAAGAATAAATCGCATTACAAGGTTTTTTTTTTAATCTATTTACCACTAATCTGCCTCGAATATTTCAGGATTTACCTTTGAGACTCGAACACGATCGCACAAAAACAATAAATTCCCTAATCAAAATCAACTCTCCCGCTGCACCAGCAATCAAGAATGCCCGGGAAATAATCCTATCATCCCTAATCTAAACACTAAACCAAAACCAAAATTTGAATTTCAAAAACTTAGTCATATTCTTCATAATTATCATCATATTTGTACAACAATACTCAAATGAAATCTACCCCTAACCCTATCCCCAAACCGTAACACGTAACTATCTCCAAATCGCCTATTTATTACGTAAGGCCCTTCATGAGGTAAAGGTAATTTTGCACTAGACCATCAGCTACCCTCAATTTTTTTTAAACAACTTAGGTCACCTATAAAATCAACATTTTTCTTAAGTTTACTATTTTTCCCTAACTTTTTACTAACCGTAATTTCTCTTCCCCTTCATTTATTTTTACCCAGGGTCTCTCTGGAAAAATCCAAAAGGTTTATTTCACTGTTTTCAAAAATGTTCTGATGCAGAGTAACCTATAATTGGGGCTTCCATTAAAAAATGAGCGTTTTTATAGATTTGTATGCGCTATGGACACATTTTTTGAACAAGGGCCGAGTACTGTTAACTTCTGAGTCAGGTAATTTCATTTTACTGACGAGTTTTCTATTAAACTGTACCCGTATTTTAATATAAAATTTCAATGTCTATGTACATCTTTCAATTAATGATAATGACATTTCGCAAAGTCACAGGTGCGGCCAGTAAAGTGACAAGCAACGGCATAAACGTAGTCTGCTCTGCCTCTGTCAAGGAAACTAAAATTCCTGACAGAAAGTAGGCATGAAAATGAAGGTTTCGTGGCGATTTTGGGTAAATTGATTTATGAATTACTATGCAACTGTTGTCTATTATTAATCCGTTTTGCAATGGTTTGTATATTTAGACTTAACTGAATGGTTTTTCCTTATCAATTTGAAATGTTTGTTATTCGGTATTCCCATTTCCCATACACTACACCATAGGAGATATAAAGAGTCAGAAGCTTGTAGAATGTGTTGTAAGATGTTTCGTTATTGTGCATTTGTTTTAATGGTCTTTTTGGTGTTTGTAAACCAAGGTATGGAAGATATTTAAAAAAAAGGTTATGAAATAATATATCACTTTCAGGGTTTGGCGGTGAATATGAAGAGTGCATTCGAATGAGTGCGTGCCACTTACGACCATTCCTTTCCGGGCCGTCTTGCTACGAGGGATGTGACAAGTTCCTGCGGAAAAGTTAAACACTAACTAAATAAAATAAACTATTTCCTTTTTCGAGGAACTAATAAAAAACTAGTTTCGATTTTTTTATTTTCATGCTTTTGCATCTATCATTTATAGCACACCATCCTGGAAAGTATACAAAATCGTAAAAGGTCTAAAAATGAAACCCAAAAAATATGTAAAACCATTATTCCATCTTCTATAGTGCTAGAAAAATGGAAGCAACATACATTTTAAGTAATGAAATCCTTCTCTTGTTTATACCCTCAGTTTAAACATTTTTGTTCTGACACTCTTTGCACCGCGTCACCCACTATTTTTACATTTACTGTTTGAAAAATGTATCACACCAGGGATATGATACCTATTCAAAAAAGATTCAAGAAATTCAAAAAAATTAATGGTGAATTTTTTGAATTTTTAGTATTATACTTTTGAGAAGAGAATTTAATATCTATCTCTTTAGTTAAAACATACAAGGTATTCCATTAAAAAAAAGTTGCAGTTTTTTTGCCTGATCCCCGTATAGTTATTTTGAAAACGACAGATTATAACAATCATTGTAAAGTAAATTTTGTAATAAACATTTTTCCTCGCATTTTTCTGTATCTCTTTTAACTAGGAAAATAATAGGGTATTCTCAAATTGGCATTTTTTTAATTGTCCTCCGTATCTCTTATGACAGCAAAAATTTTTCAATTTTTAATTTTATCATTTTAAGTTTGACACAAAAAGAGCACTTGAGGCGTATATTACTTTTTTGGTAGCACCAACGAAGATACCCTATAAGATTATTGAAAATGGGACAGCCTGTACATTCCTTCTCTGATCCATTTAATCTATGTTAAAATTGAACGGTTTTTCAATTAGGTTTTTTTTAAATGCCGTTTCAAAAACAATTTCCATTTGAAATTTTCAATTATTTTTGGTAACAATTCAGTTCACTTAAACATTATTTTTAAATGATTCGTAAATTGAAGATTCGGTTCGGAAATCGTCGGGCGTAAGTTTAGTCTTAGTCTATTATCCACTAGTGGAATCTTATGGTGTCTTCTTACGAAAATTATGATCGCAAGCGCCGTTACCTGTATTTGTTTCAATGGTTTGAGATTGAGCTCATGGGAGCTGCAGTGATACATATAAACCTGCAACTCATAGGCGTCTAGTAATATTTCCCCCATTCAAGAACCCTGAGTTGTTAAATCAAAGGTTTCTAGTCTTGGGGGCACGACAGAAACCGTTTTCTTTGATACACGCCAAGAAAACCCTTGAACATTTATTTATGTCCCTCGCCACCTTAAAGCTCTTCTGCTGCCACACCTGTGTGGCCGTGATATCACGACTATACAGCTAAGCTGTGACATACGGGGTAAAGCTCAAGTGGCAATAGCATCAGTATATCTCTCATGAGATTTTGTCAACGTGCCTCCCAGTAATGATACGGCAGAACTGAGAGAACTTCATTATAGGGTGTGACTCAAATGCTCACCATACTACACGGGGGAGGACTAACGTCAACCTTAGGGATACATCCTACAGGACAAAGTAGATCTTGCCAAATCCGAACAGGCATGTTCGCTGAGGACTACCGAGCCGCTGTATAACCATCCCTGATGGAGCAGGGCGCTCGAAAAGCAGAAATATCAATTGGGAAAACTGATCAATAAGGCCTATAAGCTAAACCTAAGGCTATATAAAAAGAATATTAGGAGGCGTCAGAGAGAGGCATTGAGTGAGTTTTGTAGCTCTATAGAATCCGCCTCCTCTGCCTAGTGAGGGGATGTAGCGCTTTCAGATACATAATAGAGGGAGATAAAAATTGCCTTTATACCCAAACCTGGCAAAGGTGATTACTCCACACCTAAAGTATACCGCCCAATCAGTTCGATGTGTTTTCTTTGGACAGTCCACACTGAGAGTAATAGATAAGGGACTTTTAATGTTGTAGAATTCCTTACTTTGTTTTAAAAAGGTAAAACACCGACAATATCTTGGATAGCCTCGAATTAGATCTGCGCCTAAACCACTTCTACTTTTAGTAAACCACCTCATCTAAATAGGAAAATCAATATGTAATTGGAACTTGGAACGAGCAGAATAAATTTGGGAGGAAGTTTGCTGCAAATCATCCTACATCACCAACAGCTGGGGGTACTGCGGATTTGTGCAATAAATTGAATTACGAGTTACTGTGCCACTGACATTTATTATTAACTCATTTTGTCATGGTTTATATATTTAGACCTGACTAAATGGTTTTTCCATATCAGTTTGTGTTTGTTATTCAGTTGTAGAAAAAAACAGTGCGCAATCGGTATTCCTATACACGAGATTATCGTAGGCGATATAAAAGTGTGAAAAGTTTTCCACTGAACCAGAATCTTCTAGAAAGTCTTGCAAGATGTTTCGTTATTGTGTATTTGTTCTTCTGGTCTTTTTGGTGTTTGTCAACCAAGGTATGGTAGCTAATGAAAAAAAAAGGTTAGGAAATAATACGTACATCACTTTCAGCGATTTGCGGTAAATATGAAGACTGCGTTGAAATTAATGGGTGCCGTTTACAACCAATGCATTTACAAGCCGCTTGCCATGGGGCCTGTGCAAGGCTATACCTGCAGTAAAAGTTAAAAACTAACTAAATAAAGTAAACTATTTTCTTTTTCGAAGAGCTAATAAAAATATTTGTTGCGATTGGTGTATTTTCATGATTTTGCATCTAGCATTTAGAGAGAGAGAAAAATATACATCGTCGTAAAAGGTACAAAAATGAATTCCTTCCATCTTCTATTTAGTTCTGGAACTCACTACCACGCGTCATCCATTATTTTTACATTTTTATATGTTAATACACATGTTTCACAAGAATCGTCTGGAAATCACTTATGCTATTGACTTCGGTTCGGTTCTTTAATTGAGCGTAATACACCTGCTGTAAATGTTTATCTCCATATCGAACTTCCAATTGTGACACAATGTTCTCAAAAACCTTCTACTGGTGTTCCGTGCGCAAATCCAATTTCACGAAACGAAACTATAAGAAAAGTTACCTTCTCTTCCACTGTACACATCGGCATCGATGTTAAGACTAAGACTAAACACAATTTAGTTAGCTTATAGACGAAACGATAAGGTTTTTAGAAAAGGCTCGAATTGCCGTATCATATTTCAAGGAAAAAATCACATCCGCTTACATTTTTTATCTGTATCGACCGCTTTAGACCAGTGTTTCTCAAACTGGGGGGCGTAAGGCGTTGTTAAGGGGGGTGCGAGATCCCTGATGTGTTTGAGGAAAATATTTACCTTTATTAATTAATACCAATTCTTACACCAACAAGAAGGTATCTACAATTCGGTAAATTCGCCTTTTTATGCTGATGAAAGCATTGAAATTGCACAATGTTGCCAGTGTGCTAATGTGCTATAAAAGAAGAGATCTCGAATGAACTAAAAACAACTTCAAAAACCGTGGATGTTATGGATGCAATATCCGACTTGATCGAAAAACATAATATTTCATGGGCCATAACAACTTTTTTAGCACCGTCAGAAACTTGAGAAAAAGCTTTTGTTAATATTATTTTTTGGAATCTTTGAAAATAAATGGACGCCAACGTATTCTCGAAAATGACATTTTTCGGTTTTTTGACCATAACTTCGCTATTTGTAGACTTTCAAGACTTTTTGGAAGGGAAAATTAATCACCATACAATTTTGCATAAATTTGCCCCAAACGGCTTTGTATCTCTTACAATTTCCGAGTCACCATAATGAAAAAAAAACTGTAATTTTGTTTAATAAATACGTTGGTAGTAACAGTAGTAACTTTTTATTTTTTAATCGGGGTAGGAATGGGGTGGGGGCGTGAGTAATTGTAGTGTTATCACCTAGATTCTACATCGAAGAATTGTTGTGTTAGCAGAGTTCTCAGCATTAGGTGTCGTTATTAATTAGTTGCAGGTTATTACCACCCCTGTAACTCTCTATTCAAGACGGAGAGTTTTAGTTTAAAAACAAATTAATACACATACACACAATAAACAATTAAATAACTTCCACAAATTTAAACGAATGGTCAAAATTTAACTTCGGATGTAATCAAAACATAATCACAAATTAAGTAAGCATTTACTTACACCAAAAATGAAAACGATTTCAAAACAATAATAGGACATTTTCCACACATGTTATGCATTGATGTTAAATCATGTCAATTTTAAGAACAAAAAAACTGTATACAGGGCACTAATAAAATGTAAAGAAATGCTCACAAGATTAACAACAAACGTAAACTATACAACGCTTTCTATACGGGAACTTCCAACAAGTTAGTAACGATTTTTCCTTACGGATTGACATTCCGGATTGAAATTCTGTTTAAGTAACTGTTTGATTTGTGCTTTTATTTAGATTCTTACGCCATCTAGGTATTTTCTTTGTAAGTCACTAGTTTAAATGTAAGTTGTTCCCGTAGTCAATTTGTTCCAAGTGTTATTACATTGTTCTTTGTTTCGCCGACGGAGGTTGTGCAGGTGCATCGTACTTAATTCTATCCCTTCTTATGCTTATCTTGGCTACGAGTTGTATTTTTCCCCGCAGTGAAGTTTCTCCCGTTGCATTAATTACTGACATCGTGTCATACCTGTGTAAAGGGATTATTGCCATCTAGGTATTTTCTTCACTAGTTTAGATGTAAGTTGTTCCTGTAGTAAATTTGTTCCAAGTGGTATAGATTTTTTATTACGTTGTTCTTTCTTTTGGCGACGGAGGTCGTGCAGATGCTTTCCATTATGTTACGTTCACTTTGGGCCAACGTGACAAAATTACCTTAGATAAGCACGCGGTAAGCTCAGGCAAAGTAGAGGTGGGTCGGGGTGAAAATGGGGTTCTTCTATACACACACAAATAAGCCAAAAAGGGAAGGAAACAGTAAAAGTAATCCGGATAGGCGCCACTTAGTCTTTGATGAATCTAGAGAGAGAGGAATACTAAAGGGATGAACAAGGCAGACCAAGAGATCCTTGTTCTCGTCTTACTAAACTCAAAGGAATACACAATTATTGGGAAAAACAAACAGTATTTGATGTCATAAATGCGGGTAGTTTAATAACAAAGATCTCAAAATATCACAAATCTGACACTGTAATATATCGATCTAGTATATCAAACTGGGAATTTAAAATAATCTCTAATAAAACAAATGAGAAGCCAACACGTAGCCTGGGAAAATATTTATCCAAAAGGGCTTCCGCAGAAACAACGGAGCTATAATCATTAAGTGGCTTTCAAACAAAGTAATAATCACAACTCGTTAGTATCAACAACCAAAATGTAATCAAACGTTAAAAGGGAAAAACGACGAAAATAACTAAAGTTACCTTGAACTCCGGTCGCGACCTTCCGAGCTCAGAGGACGCGAAACTGCAAATCTGAAACAGACACAAAAACAAAAAAATTTAAGAAGGGTAATGATTCGCGTTGCACAATATATCGCATAAGCAATGGTTAACGTAAGACACGAATGGTTATTCTTGTACGTAGAATTGCAATCAATACTAAAAAGAATCAAAAATTCAAATGACTTTACAACAAAATAAAATTTGGTTCGACTAAGGGTTGGTTTTCACAATCGGTATGAGATATCAAAAAGTGACATGAAGTTGTAAGAGAAAAATACTACAAAATGTACAAACAAAATAACTGAATCTATCTTCAATGACAAAGCAATCTTATCAATTCAAATGAAAACAAACTTACACGAGCAAGTTCTTCAAAGTAAAATACATATCGTTAATTAAAAAATTTACACAGTACTAACTCCACACGTCTCGTTAATTAAGTACTTGCGTTTCGGAAGAATGAATCGTAGGTCAACGAACTTCGTAAAATTAGGTCATCAGTTCAAATATCGGTTTCACATGAAATGGCGGTAATTCTTCAGTCAATTCTTCAGTCGGTAAGGTAGAAATATGTAGAGCGTTTTTGATTGTAATGGCGTCGAAACTTCAATGGAATTCTATTGCACCATATGGAAAATCGGGTATTCGCGTTTCCACGTCAAAATATCAATCTACAGTCAGGAAGCAATTGGTAAAACTTAGGGAGTACGAAAGTAGCCTAGAATAGATTATTTAAAATAAAAAAGATAATGCGTCATAGACAACATACCGCAAAACGGTCTTAAACTTGTAAGATAAATCCGCAGCAATGCGTCATCAGCGAAATTGGAAGTAAGATGATAAGAGAAAACTTCACTAATCTTAGTACAACACCACTAATAATCCCAAAAAAAGGTAGACAAATATGTCAAGTAAGTGTAATGGCGTATAGTTCAAATACAAGTCAAGATCGAATCGAGTTCTTCAACAAGGACTGCGCGCATCGACAGTGAGTGGGAGAAGATAACCGCGCCAATCAACAGAAAACTAGACAAAAGGTTTTTTTTTAAAGAAAACTATATCGCAAATAAAGGATCGGGTTATAAGGTGAACACCTAGATGGCGAAAGGATTGCTATATAAAGGTAAGAGTTCGCATAATGTTATTCGAGAAGGATTCCACATAGTAATTCAAATGTAAGCCAAAGCAAAGATTACACGGTAAAGAAAATAACGTCACAATTATTTGAGTTATTAGCTACCGTTGCTTTGTAAATTAGTTTTTGAAGTTGCCGAGACTTGGTCCTACGCCGATATCTACAATTTTTAGTACGTTCTTTGTTTTACTTTGTTCGTGCTACCTGATCTACATTCTAAATTAATTAGATTACATTGCTGTCATACAGAAATTTAGTTATTTGTGTAGAGTAATGTTCTTGAATTTAACTTAACGTTAGAATTGCTTACGCAATATTTTCTGTGCCGCGCTATTCACTACCCCTCTTGTTTGTTTGTTTGTGTTGTTGTCTGCTACAGATAAGCCTTTGAGCTCACAAGGTTGCGGTTGGTTCAAAATAATTCTTTTTTTTTCGACGATTCCTTGATATAACATCTTACAATACTGGCTATACAGCCGGAGGTCGGGTGTTCGAACCTAGGCTGAGGTAAGAATTTTTCATCTGTGACAGAGATGGGAATTTCCTTAGACCAGTTTCGAGCATTCTGCCGGCTACTCCGAATTTGAGTTTCCTGCAGTTTTCCTAATTCGCAAGGTTAATACGAGAGTAGGATAGAACAACTTAAGACCTTCTGCAGAGGCACTCTGTAATTGGGCGCAAGCCTGTTGAGGGCCCAAAACAAGAGAGGGATAATAAATAATTAATTAATTAATTAACGGAACCATTTTCATCCCTCGACGGCCGATATATTGAATACGATTAAGATTTTCAAAAATATCTATATGTAGGGGCGGATCGAATAAGCTCTTACTTCCTCCTACGACTCGCCGGCTTCTAAATAAAAGGGAAAATAAGCAAAATGGAACCTTCATCACACGATGGATTTGCGAGGATGTTACTTTAAATACAAAATGCCTCAAGAGGATTCCTTTTAAATCTGTCTCAGCCATTGTGAGTATCACCAATCAACTTTACCTAGTGCTCAAATCTACTCGGAAATTTATGTATGGAGTATCATATCATCCAGATAACTACCATTTAGCCTTTGGAAGCAATCGGAATCTTCTGGTTTTCTTTACAGCACTAAGGTGGTAGACATCCTTATCTTGACTCAGTGTTCGCGTCTATACCTAGATTAGATTGCCACCTTTCCAGGCGATTACGAATACCACATTTAAAAAGATGGTGGTATTTTAAAAATAAAGTTTAGTATTTCCCCGTCATCTATCCCACATCCTTTCAGGTTATGATATAACAGCGGCACTTTCTTCTGAATATTATTTAGCAAAGATTCACCTTATGTGTACAAAGTGAAGTATAATGATGACCAACTGCTTTAAAGTAATTTTGCTTCTGTACCACCTTTTACAATTTTCCGCATCAGGAAACGTGCGGGTGACTTTCGAAAAATGCGAATGGAAAGGATTTACCTGTAAAAGCTCAATTGAGTTACCCGAAAGGATCGATGTAACATTTCAATGCAACAGCACTGTGACGGGTCAGGTAAGTTTCCTCGTTTAGTCGATAGAATATGCTAGAATCATTTTTTAAGGATATTGAGATCTACATCTGGTCATTCAACGCGCCTAACACCATAGCCTCATTGACAATTCAAGATTGTGAAAAGGTGCACCTCCACTTTGCCTGCGGAGATAACAAGGCGATCCAATGGCTCAAAGTGAGAAATGTAGAAACACTGGAAATAATGCAGCCTACCGTCACGCAAAATCCTCGCAAAGTATATTTTGAAAACATCACTAGTATAGCAACACTGCCAGCGGACAGCTTTTCCCAAATGAAGAATTTGCGTTATAGACCATCGTGCGGTTTTGCAACGAATGAGCTGGAAGGAATTTATTTTAAGAACGTTTTTATTGGTAACATCGAAACTGCCGCCTTCAGAAATTTATCCGATATACGAGAATTTGAGTGGATCAATGTTGCTGTTGACAAAATAAGTTATGCCGCCCTAAACATTCGATTTGCAGACGACGGTGTGGGATCCATAACAAATTGCAGCTTTGGTATTTTGGAGCCACTAGCTTTTCAGGTCACTGCCGATCAGTTTTCAGTGAGGGGCACAACAATAAAAGATCTTTGGCCAAGCGGTTTAAATGGCACAAGTGGCAACTTTGTGTTTACCAACAACACGGTGAATAATATGCAATCTGGATCAATAGCGATGCTGTGTCAAACTGTCCTTATCAAGTTCAACTATTTCAAGAACGTCGAATCTGGCGCTTTTGGTAAAATAAGTCCTGGACTGTTACACGACTCCCAAACGCATTTTGGCAAATTGCAATTCGTGTACGATTTTAAGAGTAATACAATTGCGCATGTGGAGGATAAAGGAATTCGTCCCGACATCGAGACTTATAGGAATGTGGCGTCTTACTTGAATTACACTGAGAACTTCCTGCAGTGCTCGTGTGAATCGCTATCCTGGTACGGGGCCGATATCAATTTGGGCTTTGGATATAGCGTTTTAAAGGACTTTAACATGATGATCTTGAATCCTCAAAATAAGAACAACTGCAATTTTAGGCCATGTATGTGCTTTACCGGCAGTGCACCAGAAAATGCAAGTGCTACCCTGATTCCAGCAGTTTTCTAAAGTAGGCGCCCTGTTTTATAACAAACCATATCAAATAATAATGTAAATTTTTGATAATAAATTATGCATTTCCTGAATGTTGGTCAGTTACATAACGTTTTCCACAAGAGTTTCAGATTATGGGTATTAGTCACAGATATCAGGCATCCGGTTAGCTCGTGGGTATTTGATTTATTATTACATACAATCTTTTCTGCAAATCAAACGGTTATAGTGGAGAGATTGGTGTCTATGTAACGGCCGTGCTTTTTACAAATGACTCCTATTTTGACAAACTCGGAGTGGCGGCTTTAAGTATCTGAAATGCAAAAAAATGAGTTTTTGCGGACAACTTCCCCAAAACTCGACCGATGTACTTATATACTTATTAACTTTATATAAAACATAGGCCTACCTAACATGTAAAAACTGTCCAAAAAAGTTACACAGGGTGTTTAGAACTACCTAATTTCGTCGAAATAAAAAAACTTTATTTTTCAAATGGAAACGCCCTTTTTCTGTTCCCCCATACACTGAAAAATAAGAGCAACTTGTAATTACATCACTATATACATACAGGGTGGCCATTTGAAAACGGAACAGAGCCTATTTTGTGGACCTCAAAACATTTACGAAAACATCCTTGGACCCGTCAACATTTGATTCAAGGAGGAACCATTTTTTTTTGCTAGTTTCGCCCCACTGAGGGCAAATCCAATAGCGGGGGTGGCAAGCGCCCCAGAAATTTTAAATCGAATGGGGGGCCGAGTGATACCTTATTTTGCAGGTAGTTTTATGTGGATAATAAATCAATCTTATTTTAAGTGCTTAAAAATATTAAATGTTGAAAATGTCGGCCTTCGACTGCCATACAATAATACAGGTCTTGTTCAGACCTTTCCCGTACATTTTGAAAAACTTCTGGGGTGTTTTTTCGACATTCATCAATTATTCTTTGTCGCAAGTTCTAACGATGTTGGCCGACTAGCATAAATTTTAGTTTTAAATGGTCTTATAAAAAAAATCTAACGGACTCTAAGTTCGAGGAACAAGGAGGCCATTCAATAGCTCCTCTTCTTGCAATCCATTGTCCTAGAAACGTTTGGTCCAAATATTGACGAACCTTCACAGAATAGTAGGGTGGCGCACCATCTTGCTGAAATGCTAGACGATTTTCCAAGTACTCGTTATTTTCTAGTATCTCCACTAATGCTGGATGAATCGTATTTTATAATAACTCCAGGTACATCTCTCCTGTTAAATTGCCTTGTAAAAAGGTGTGGCCTACGATGGTTACCAAAAATGCCAGCCCAAACATTCAATTTTTCGGGATGTTGTGTATGCACCTCATGAAATATTCTGGGATTTGAATCAGCCCAATAGCGACAGTTGTGACGATTCACAGTACCGTTCAGGAAAAAGGAGCATTCGTCAGAAAAACATACATTAAACAGAAAGTGTTGATCATGTATGGTTTGTTCAGCTATAGTTTCACAAAATTGTACTCTTCTGAATGCTGCTTTTATTAATACCAGACTAGGTTGACAATTTACTTGTGCTCAGTGTGGGATCTTCCACAATATGGCCTACAATAGCCACTTCTGAAGCTCCATTTACTACTGAATTATCCATTTCCACGTTTTTTATTAGCCACAGACCCAGTTTCCCTAAATTTTGAACAAATTCCGAAATGTACTTACGATGGACGTGTCGATTCTGGTGTTTATTTAAAATTAATTAAAGAGCTTGGCAGTTCTAGCATTTTCATTGTTCGCAAAAAAAAAGAGAAATTATTTCAACTCTTTCAGCAAGTGTATAAACCATTATCACTGTTTAATGTACCGATTTTGCAATTAAAGAACTTTAAAGCACTATTTGTCACTACTATGATCTGGAAACAGTCATTGATAATCACTATTAAACTTCAAAATAAAGTATTAGAGTATTAAAAAGAAAAAAACAACAACAAAGAGTACGGGTCAGAATGTAGGAGAACGACATTTTTTGTATTTATTGTTGTATTTATTTTTGTTATTGCAAGCATTTTTTTTTTCATAAGAAAATGTTGACACGTTTTTGTAACTTTTATTAGCCCCTGTATCAGCTAGGCAAATTAGTAGCGATTTAAAACTTAAGGGTTATAAGCCACATAAAAATACCTTCAAAATAAGGTATCCCTCGACCGGGGTCGCTTGTCACCCCCGCTAAGGCTTTGCCATCAGGGGGGTGAAACTAGCAAAAAAATGGGTCCCCATTGAATAAAAAATTGACGGGTCCTAGGATTTTTTCGTAAATGTTTTAAGGTCCCCAAAATAGGCTCTGTTTCGTTTTCAAATGGCCACCCTGTATAACCTGAACTTTTTTACGTAGAGGGAAGCGGAAGTCAGTATTGCGCAGCATTAAAAAAAACAAATTCTAATACCATTTCCAGGAAAAATTGGCGGTTTCTTTTAATTTTGAAAATCACAACTTTGCACTCTTGTTTGACCTGATTGACTGCAGACAATAAATAATACAAATTGATTGAAATGATTGAATATATTGACACAATAAATCTCGATCCGAGTTTCTAAGTTTTTACGCAGACTGTAATCCGTGGCCACGTTTCCTTTCTAATTTATCCCCATTTAACCTTCAATAGCAATAAAATAAATATGGCAATTTTTACAAAAAGCATCACCTTATAGCTAGCACAAACTGGACTAATTTATTTTAAATTGTAAAATGTAACAAGATTACCTTGAGATAAGCACACGGTAAGCTCAGGCAAATTATAGGGGGGGTCAGTGTGAATAACGGTGTTCTTGTACTCTAGTAAAACGAATCAAAAAGAGAAAAGTAGTATTAGTAAACCGGATCTATGTTACTTAGTGTTTAGTAAATTTCAAAAGAGAGAAGAGAATACTTACCAAAAGAGGGATACAAGGGAGACAAAAAGATCGTCAGAGAATATTAAGAAGCCGTCGAATATTAAAAAAAATACCTTTGAACTACATCAGGTCGAAGCGGCCTTTTTGAGCTCAAGAAAGGCGCTTCCTGCCAATCGGTAGCAGATAGCAATACAAACAAATAAAAGAGGTTATAAATCTCGGGGCACATAAAATATTGCGAAAGTAATTCTAACGTCAGCAATCGGATATTAAACCGTAATTAATACTCAATAAGAATCAATAATTCAACTTACGTTAACTAACCAAAAGCAAAATTGTGACTCAACCACGGTTGCTCTTACAATCGGTGTTTATATTTATATAAAAGCATGATGGTGACGTTAAATTCGACAACTAAATTTCTATACAACACCAATGCAATCTAATTAATTCAAAATGTAAATCAGGTAGTCTGAACAAATTCTTCAAAGTAAAATAAGTGACGTAACTAAAAATTGTAGATATCAGTCTCGGACCAAGTCTCGGTAACTTTAAATTCGCAAAGAAACGGTAGCTAATACGTAGTATTACAATACAGCTAACATAAAGGATATGAAACGTATTTCAGCTAATACAAATAAATCTTCGGAGTAGTCGTGGGTAATCTAGATCAAATCGGGTCTCGAACAGATATACTTCGGGAATGACAGAAGCATCGTAAGTAAAACAAGATATATTGGAGCAATTTAGAAGACCAGTCACGTACTGCGTAAGTAGATACAACGTAAAACGGTAACCCAAAAGAGAAAACCGTGAGAAAGCTATAAGAATAGGTTGAGGGAAGATAAAGCACAAAAAACACGTATTAAGAAAAATGCTAATTCATAAATCTACCTCGTACTGATTAAGTGCAAATACAAATCCGCCTATAGTTCTTCTATGGAGCACAGCCACAGACATCTAAAGAAAGAAAGAGCAATCACTCCACAAATGCATGGTGACAGCCAAAACCAAAATTCCTTATGCAGGTAGACATCAGTTAGTAGAAAAGTAATGGCGTACCGAAGACATATGAATATGCCTCTTCGCTGAAAAGGGAGAAGTACGGCTTATACGTAAGACCAAATTTTAAAAAAAGCATGGTACATCTGCAGGTGCTCCGTAGGCGAAGCAAAGAACTATTGTAATAAGAGTAATACCAGTCGGATGAGTTCTAGTGGCAAAAATGAAGAACTAGGGCAATAAAAATTTACTACAGAAATAACTTACATTTAAACTAGTATATTACAAAGGTATACATAGTTGGCGTCAGAATTTAAATAAGAGAATCAATCGAAAAATTACTTAAATGGAATTGAGCATAATTCGTAAGAAAAAAACAAATTTCAAAGGGAAATTCCAAAATTCTTTCTAAATGAGTTCAAACGACTATTTTATACTATAGAATTCTGCCCCATTCAGCCAATTTACATAATCGATTCGTTTATACATTTTTTTCTACAATCGATATCCAAAGTAGGCATTTGCGCTCGTATTTGTCAACGCAAACGTCATCTTTTTCGAGGAATGTCACTTTGTCGCTTATAAGCGACAAAATAGAAAAAAAACGCTCGCTCTCCCAATTATTAACTATAAATCAAATATGCATTGCTCAGAGTATCCAATGACAACGAGTAAATGACATCTTTCATTTGGGAATAAGATTAAAATGATTCGAGTGAGAAATTTAAATTTCTGGAAATATGTGAACTGATCGATTGTAGAAAAAATCTTGTGTGTAATTCGAGCGCAAATTGATTGTCGATTTCAAGAGATTGCCGCGCTCCTTCGTCACGCGTCAACTGTCTCTTTCAATCGACAATATATCATTTTGCGCTCTTAATACACAAATAGCTATTGTGATTACTTTCAAAAAAATCGAATGAAAAGGGAACCGATAATTATCTCGTATACAGAATGACGTTACGTTAATTAGAGCGTTTTCTAGAATCGATGATCTCCCTATGGTAGAAATAGATGCCCCCTTTCGCGAAGGGATGGTCCCCTAAAGTGGACAATATAGAATGAAACCTGGATCCCCGGAAGGAATACTGCTGAAGTGCTGCCCCGAATTTTTTTGCACCATTACCTCTTGTTGTGCAATTGTTCGGCCATTAAACTGTCCACTTTTATGGTTTGCTTGCAACCAATCTTCCACTTTCGCAGTATAAGTGCACTGCAAGGCCAAACCGATACTGATTTTACTTGTTTATTGTAATTTCCGCTTTCGAAGTGGAGTTTTTTAATAATTGATATTTCCACTCTTAACTTCTGATTTATTTTCCGGAAAAGACCGCTCGTACTTTTATAATTTTTCGATGTTTCTACTAAGAATTTATTCTTATTGAATTTCGACGGTAACCCTTTCTAAATGAGTTCGGGAAATTTGGCTTGCAAACAAAACAAAACTAACTGCGTTAAATATTCTTCTAGTAATATTTATTTATCACTAAAGCGGTTTTTTTCTCAAAGATTCACTGTTCACGAATTAGAACATGCATTCGACCATAATGTTTCCTGAGGTCATTTATTATCCATCTGCTAACCAAATATCAGACGTGACGTCGCCACCAGGATAACTAAAATGAAAACAAAAATTACTTCGAACAAGCTTGCGCTTGGATAGTACCGCATCTCGTGGGGCAAAATAGGACCGTCAGGCTCTCCGTCAAATTCCACGAGGAAATCTTTGTCCAATGTCATCCCGCCATTTTCCACATTAACATCAATTTTAACTATAAATCCTCCTTTCTCCAACACATCAGGATAGAACTGGCGATCGAATGGCGAATACAAGCTGGAACTAACATACAAACGTTTCCCATCCAATGACAACTGTAGCATTTGTGGTCCAGCGTACAGGCGTTTGCCGTTTATAAAGACGGGATCCGGCTGGGCACTCAATTCCCGATCTTCAACGACGGTAACGCCCGAATCGCTTAAAATTGAACCTCCGAGAAACACTTGACCGGTCAGTTTCGGATTTTCACGGTCAGTTATGTCGTACTGTCTTACATCTCCGTGCAACCAATTACTGAAGTACAGGTATCTGTCGTCCAGCGATATAAGGATGTCGCTCATCATTCCGTTGATTTCGTCCGCAACCCAGCCAGACACCTTCTTCGCTGGCACCGAGATAACCTTATGGGCGTCCCAAGATCCGTCCTCCTTCTTGAAGAACCTGAAGTGAAATAGCGTGATTGACCAAATACGAGAAGGCAATTACCTGAACACGTTCGCGAAAACACAGCATCCAACGTATCCTTGGCTCTCTTTCGGATTGTGCAGAAATCTTAGCTCGAGCGGGGCAAAACCGTCCCGTCCCAGATCAATAACCTGTTTTAGCTGTCTATCTTTCCAAGAGTATATATTCAAAGATTTTCCGTAACGATCCCCAACAAGATGGTCGGGGTAAAACCCACATTTAAATACATTAGGCGCCGCCCACTCTGAAGCCACCATTACGTCGTGGAAGGGTTGGTACCAAAAGTCATAGCCAAAGTGCGCCTTTTCTCCAACGGTCCAGGTGCCTTTAACTTTAAGAGTCTCAGCGTCAATAAGCATGAAATCGCCTTTCGAATTCTCTTTGTTATCCCCCATGGTGGAAACCATTATTTCACCTGACGGGAGGCAGTGAGTGGTATGCGGATACGAAAGATCCAAAGCGTCAAATTCGACGGGCTCGATCGTCTGTAAGTTGAAATTGGAACTCAGCGGCAGCGGAACTCGCAGTCAATACCTACCGCGCATATCTCTGGTGCTCTCGGATTTTTTCCTGTGTCCACAACGTAAATCCGTTTGCTAGCCAAACAAGGCATTAACAACTTATTCCGTTTTGGAACATTGTGGCATCCTTTCACCTCGTGGCAACTTGAGCATATGTTCCAACCTGAGTGGTGGAGCTCCTCGTTGGGGTGATGGGTGTAGGTTCTATGAATGATCTAAAATGTACGCATGCGTTGAACTCTTGTGAGTGTGTTGGGCTCAGCTTACTTTGCAATACGTCGACGATTTCGGATCCACGTCAATCGTTGCCAGCAGGTCGTGTTTGCCTTCGCCACCATTCGGTTGAACGCATGTGACGTACAGAATTTCTTCACGTGGACCCTTCGTTGCCTCCAAAGGAGTAGCGTAACCTGGACCTGGAGGAATTTCATTTTTTAATATCATTAATAAAAGAAACGAAGGGTTTGATCAGAAAATAGAATTAGCATGCAAATTTTGTTAGCACAATGTCCGAACGCATTGCTAGTGTACAAAAGTAAACATACTAACAGGTGCTGATGTTTCAAAAGAATTTAGTTCGTCTAGCTCTAGTGCATAAAAACGCTTCCCTATACATTTTCCTCACTTTCAACTTATAAGCCCCTTTTACGTCCCTTAACACAAATTCCGCTTCCGTGTTCTTTCCTTTCTCCGCCCTTAATTTTCTACGCGTCTTTGAGTACATTAAACAAACAGCGCGAACACCTCTTATCGCAACGCCCGGAGATAAGCTTACGTCCGCATGACGTAGGTAGTACAAGGTGGCGCGTCGAAAAGAAAACAGATGTATTTTAGGGCAGATCAGTATGAATTTCCGAAAAATTGGCTGAAGGTGATGGTGACGTCACGATTTAAATGCATGTTTATCCAGTAACGTCACCATTTCAGCAGAATTTCCGTGCCATTTTTGTCTAAGGACTACAGCGGGTTGTTTGGGATTTGCTTTTCGAATTAGAAATTCTATGGACCGGTAGAATATGAAAACCGTAAAGAAACAGAAAATCAGAAGGACTGAAAGCTCAAAAGGAATCGTCAAATTCGAATAATGAAAGAAAGAGTCTAAAAAATCTGATGAATCTGTAAAAGTGAAAAATCACAAACATCCAAAGAAACGGACGAATCCGGCAAATCTGAGTAGCCTGTAGCGTTGAGAAAAAATTCTGCAAAGATACCCGAGTGCCAGTTTTCTTCCGCCACCAAGAAAATATGATCGGTTGTCACATTAGGCGCTACAAAATATCATTCGTGTTGCAACTATCGCCACCAAATACAGAAAGTAGTTGGGAAAGTTTGTTAAGTAATTTCCTCTTGTAAGAATACGTGACATTACCTTTCCAAGTACAGAGAAGGCACGAATGCTACTACCTTCCTCCTCCAGCAGAACACTTTGAATGAACCTGCACAAGCAGCAAAATTCCTATACGAAGAAATCAACCCAGTGCCCAAGTAACCTCTATTTAATCCCTCTTTTTCTCCATCGACTATTTTCCACGATGACCAGGGGCCCGTTAAAAAAAGTGGTACTGGTGACGTAAAATATTCTCGTTCCTGACCAATCAAGCCAACTAACAATAAAAAACACTTATTTTAGATATGGGAATATAATTACAAACTACCCTTAAATGTGAAGAAAACAAATGGGCTTTTTGCACTGCGAAAATTGACATGAATTTACATATTGTAACAGGTGGTCGTTTTAGGCTTGGAATGATTTGGTTTCGAAATGATATACGTGTACCGCTTTATAGTGAAAAAGAACGGAACTAAAATGCATTAAAATGAAGCCCTTTCAGATCAAAAGCGAGTGTGAAAGCAGATAAGACTTAAAATGCCACAGTGGAGCCGGTTCTAAACATCGTTCTTAAGGTGAATGGGGGACGAACCCTTACATGTATAAAAAAAAGAGCTGAAGCTTAGTTTTTGCAACTGGAAACGGCATTAGGAAAAATTGGTTGGGAGAGCGATTTTTCTTCTGAACCTTCAAGACGAATGAACCAAAAAAAGGTGCCGTCAATTCAACGAAATTTTTATGTGTGCGTTTAGATCTATTTCGCGTTGCCATTCCGAGTAAAACAAATATAAAGTGGAATCTACAGGGTGGCTGATTTATTTTCAATCGTGAATATAGGCAAATGTGTGCATTTTTAACACGCGACGCGTTGCATGATGATCAGCGTGACCACGTTTAAATAAATTTTACCACGAAAGCATTGGGGTCAAAGGTATAGAACTTTCATTGCGTTTATACTAAGTTTACTAACCAAACTTGTGCAACTCTCTTGTTTATACGGGGCAATATAAGATTCTGGACTAAACGGCAACCGGTACTAAGTGTAAAGACGATTAATTAGTGTAGTGTAGAGGTAAAACCCTAAGTATACAAGGGGAAAATTGACATTTCCATACTACGGAACATTGGTAAATTATTCTAGTGTTAAAAAAGTTATTAAATTTCAAGAAAAACCTGAAGCCAAGTTTGCTCCTGATTCAGATCCTCGCCCATCTTTCAAAATTGATCTTCAACGAGTAGTCAAATTTGACAAAAAATTAATTTTTATGAATCCCTGTAAGTGTAACTAAGAAGCCTTTACAAAATCAGATCCTGCCTGTACTTTATTTTGTTTGCGATTTATTTTGTGAGACAGTATATTTGATAGTTGATAAAGAATAGCAGCCAGTCTCGTTTATCAATTATAAGGAGAAAGATGCCACGGAAGCGTAACAATCACCTAAACCTACAAATTTGCAAAGCCTCTTACATTCTTCTCCGAGTTATACAAATTATAATTATAAATAAATTTAATCAGTTAGCCCATTGAAATGTTAAATTTTTTTGGGCTTAGCGTGCGTTTGTCAGAGGACGCGATTATATTTTTTAGGTATCAAAGCCCACAAACTCGGATTTAACTTTAAACCAACCCCCCTTGATACCTAAAAAATAAAATTGCGTCCTCTGACAAACGCAACCCCAAATGTAACTTTTCAATGGACTAAGTATCAGTTTGTGTAGTGGATTGCGCATGAAAATTGCAATGAAAATTGCACCAAAGTGAGGTGTTCCTCAAGGGTCTATTCTGAACTCCTTCCCTTTTAATTTATATATATATATATATATACAGGGTGTTTTTTTGGGAGCTTTAGTTAAAAGTTTCTGGGAAAGTAAAATAGGTAGGTTTTTGAAAATTTGTACTTAGGAGTTACTCTGAAGGCTGAATCGATGTAAAATATTTTCAAAATGGCCGCACTTCCGGAAACACCGGAAGTAGATAGTAACTTCGTTATTTTAAATGGCAACCCCTATTTTTTATTGCATTTTTCGATTCTATGTGAAATTTCAGTTCTTTTGATACCCATATGTCGATATCTGCCATTTATGGTTTTTAAGTTATTTTGACTTTAAGAAAAAAAATGGCGGATGCAGATGGTACCTTGATAATTGATTACTTGAAAACGGTTGTAGTCATGGCAACCTATTTTTATCAGTGCATAGAGAATGAATAGGGCTTTCTTTTAGTGCACTTAAAAAAAAGTTAAGTTGCGTACGACCGCCCCTATGAATATCCAAATTTATGAAACTTCAAAGACTAAAAACTCAGTTTTTTTTAATGGAATGACCATGTTCTTACTATTCCATGAGATAGAGAATCGAAATTGGCATATTTTGACAATACATGTTCCTATAGCTATCTTTAACAGTTTCTGACTTATTCCCATTTTATTGAATTGACACTATTTTTTTCGGATTTTCTTTTTAGTAGTCGGCCATGATTCTATAACAATTGAATTTTAAACAAATCTAGTGACACTAATCCATCACCCACTGTTATAGGTTAACATAAGTTTTTCAAAAATCGAAAAATGACTCGCAGTGGTTTCACCTATTTTGGAATTTAATTGTTATTTATGGTGAAATGGGCAGAATCGCGGCGCGTGCTTTCCGTACATTCATTCAAAAACTGGAACGAAATTGTATGAATTTTGGAAATTTTGTACCCCTAATGCACTACAAACCGTTGAAGCACAAGTGATACAAAGCTCTACAAGAGAATATTTAAGAAAATGAATTGAATTGCAAATGCAAGATTAACATATTAAATTCAATGCAAAATATAAAAAACTTCGTTGAAACATTTTTGGTATGGAATTGTTGCTAGAACAAATATCACATTACCTCTCTTAATTTCCAGACTTGTTTAAGAAATTCAGTTGAACGACTCTGTTTAGATTTTTCAAAAATTTTCCGTCCTATATCCTTAATAAATGAGTTATTTATTAATGAATTATTTAGACTAGAACTAGAATCAATGGTATTAAAGAATCCATTCCTTGATTTGTTTAAAATTCGATTGTTATAAAATCATGGCCAACTACTAAAAAGAAAATGCGAAAAAAATGGCATCAATTCCGAGATCAATTCAATGGAATGGGAATAAATCAGAAACTGTTAAAGATAGCTATAGGAACATGTATAGTCAAAATATGCCAATTTCGATTCTCTATCTCATGCAATATTAAGAACATGGTCATTCCATTAAAAAAAACTGAGTTTATAGACTTTGAAGTTTCTTAAATTTGGATCTCCATAGGTGCGGTTGTATGCAACTTAACTTTGTTTTAAGTGCACTAAAAGAAAGCCCTATTCATTCTCTATTCACTGATAAAATTAGGTTGCCATGACTACAACCGTTTTCAAGTAATCAATTATCAAGGTACCATCTGCATCCGCCATTTTTTTTCTTAAAGTCAAAATAACTTAAAAACCATAAATGATAGATACGACATATGGGTATCAAAAGAAGTGAAATTTCACGTAGAATCCAAAAATGCAATAATAAAATAGGGGTTGCCATTTAAAATAACGAAGTTACTATCTACTTCCGGTGTTTCCGGAAGTGCGGCCATTTCAAAAATATTTTACATCGATTCGGCCTTCAGAGTAACTCCTAAGTACAAATTTTCAAAAACCTACCTATTTTACTTTCCCAGAAACTTTTAACTAAAGCTCCCAAAAAAACACCCTGTATATATATATAAAGGTTTCTACTTCCTTCTCTTGATTTGTACTAAACACGAATCACAAGTTGTTTTCAAATGACTTTTACGCGTAAGGTAGCAATAGTATGGGTAAGCGCGTAGGAATTCTTAACTATCTGACCGAAAGGGCCTAGACGATATGTGGCACACAATTACAAAATATAATAAAAATAAAACAATGCTAATTATTGAAATCATCCCTACGTAAGAGTTAACAAAACAACTACCGGAATATACGGGTGCAAAAAGGACACCAAGGGCGTAGATATGGACCTAGAGAGTTCCATCTATCAAATTGGCCTAGTTGCAGATTTGTCAATTGCACTCCAAACAAATTTTTAAAATATAAACCGCATTTATTGATAAATGTTTTTCTTTTTATTCTTATTTCTCAAAGTAAAAAGATATTGCACACTACCCGTTACGCAATCCTTTTGTATTCATTTCTGCTACTGAATAATTGATTTTTAACACCTATTTTTACCTTCATTACCATAGTTCGACGTAAACAAGACTTGTAATTATTTTAGATATTGTTGCTAATCAACGCAGTTGAAAAAAATTACTTTACATAGATCCCCAGCTTATTCTAAAACCTCGGATTTAAGCATTTAATAGACTTACAAACGTGACTAAACAATTTCGCAATTTAAAAAACAAGAGTTGTGATATGGAGGCCTTAATTATATTTTTATTGTTAAATGATCTGTACTGTGAACGAATTCACATAGTTTCTATTTTTTTGAACTTTGTATATGTTTACTCATCTATAGGTTATAAATATCCTTTCATGTGTAGAATAAGTTAGTCTTGTGTATTGTACTCATAGACTGAGGAACTCACTTAATAATTACTGTTAATAAGCGTTCTTTAATTGTTAATCAAATTTTCAAGGTACACCATTTTTAAACAAACATAATTCAAGTTAAGTTTTGATTAACTTACCTCTTGGAGACATTGTAAAAAAAGCCACTGAATATGACCCCTCTTCCTAGCTACGCTCGTACACTAAATTAAGCATTGAATTTTGTATATTATCATTTACAGTGCGATAATAATGATAGTATGAGTACACTACGTCTTGATAACTGTTGTTAGCGGTTATCTATTAAACTTTAACTAGCCTTCGTATGGAACGATTTCCGTCGAATTAATTGAGAAAAGTGGGGCATACATTCAAATGTATGGTGAAAGTTGAAAGATTCATCACTTGATGGTATCTCCACAGAAGCATACTGGAGCACAAAAGTACAAAATAAGAGAATGTAAATTATAGTATACAGTGCGTCCTATTTTGGTTGAGACTGTCGTGTGCCTCAGCTGTTTTTAACGAGACTTGCGTTTTTTGCGACGCTTTGTCATTTTTTTTGTAGAACAGAATCAATCTAGGTACGTTTGTTTCTGAGATACAGGGTGAAAACGAAAAGTTTCACTTTTCGGGATGTTATATCTTACTATCCATGTAAGATAGAAAAAAGGTAAAAAGAAATTATTTTAGATATTTTTACGTAAAATCCAGTGGTGTACTAAAAAAAATTTTGGTCGACCGATAAAGTGTAAATAACACAACAAATAAAATCATTCAAATGACGTTAAAAAGTAGAAGTAAAATTTGGATTCGAAAATGAATTGTCGATACAATATCGGCAAGAATAAATAGAATGTAACTTTAAGAAGATAATTTACAATTCGAAAGAAATTTTCGTACAACAAACCTAAACTAACTGATTTGTAACGCAATTAAGCTAGCACGAGTAAATCCTTCATAACGACAAAATTTAACGTACATAAAACCAGAGCCACCAATTAATTATTAATTAATTGAATTTTGGTCTCGTAGGTTTTGGGCGTATTTTTCGTGTAAAGAGTCTCCTAATTCACAAAGTATCTGTTAGAAGTGTGGTAAATTTTCCCTGGCTGCCACTTGTTTCGGTTTAATTACATTTGCAGAGGTTGCAAGCCTCTCTCGCATAAAATAAATTTTTATCTCTACGGCACTGGTAAAATTTTTCTTGTAACAATTAATCTTTTGCAATGAAATAATTACGTTCACGGCTCTGACCCTAGCCCTTCTTTATTTCCCCTTATAATCTGAAAATCAAACCCTGATGCTCTGGTTTGATCACTCTTAAATAAATACTCATGAAAACTAGCTTACTGGGATAGAATGGTGAAAATAAAATCGTTTCAACTTCACTTTTCTTTACATTTTTCATGATTTGAAATATTCATGCAACAAAAGCAAAATAAAATTTCAATTTCTGTCTAATGATCACATTTCAAATCTAAGTAGTAATCTAGAATTTTTAATATTTGCAATTAATCCAACGCATGGTACATTTTTCGATTCACAAGATTTACGCATCTCTGGATGCTAAATAAAATTTAACCCACACAAAAGGATGGTATCAATGAACTCAAAATTCCACTTTTCCACAATTAATGAGAAAAAATCTTTTATTTGGATTCGCTTCTCATTCATAAAAAATATAGAAATCTGTTCCACTTCCGTGGGTCGACCTCTTCAGGAATGTAAAAATAACTTTGAGCATAAATTGCTACCCAAAATCCTCAAAACGATCGAGTCCTGTTTTTATTCAGTGCAAAAATTTCAAATAACTTACGTTTATCGATTAGTCGACGTTTTCTCAAAATTACAGTCGATTTTTCCTTTTGAAAAGAAGCATCATTTCGGAACCTCAACCTTTGTATTAGAAAAATGTGATGTGCGGGGAGGTTTTTCTGCTCCTAATTTACGAGATCACTGTTATAACGTTCCCCGACTACCAGAAGAACATTGTCCATGAGGGGGTCTTCTTTTCTGTTCTTTTATACTCAAAAAGAATCGTCTCAAGGCTTAATTTTCGTTTAAACGCCCGTTGTATCTGGAGAATATAATGTACGAGGAGGTGTTTTTGTCCCTAATCCATAGAGTATCTGGTAGAAAAATGTTGCATACGTATCTGACTACCAGGAGATCATATTTTTCATGCTCACGAAAAATGTACCAATTCTGTAATTTATGTTGGTCAGAAAATCTAGGAGTAACGCCGAAATTTTAGTTGTAATCACCACGTATTATGTGTTGTAAAATTCCTCCGTTAGATGTCGCCTGTTGTCATCTCTGCTCGAGCGCCACTTTGTAATCTGTACCGTGTTGTGCCTGCGGGGAACTTTAGCCGGCTAGCAAAAGTTCCAAAACACTCCGATGGCAACATATCCAAAGTCGAGTGGATCCATGGTATCACCAATTGCTAACAAGGTGCAAGAGTTGGATAAAAAATTATTTGGTAGCCTCGATGTGACCCACCCACCCTCAAGTGATTTGCACACCACCACAACTCAGAACCGCCGCCTTTCTACCTTCACCAACACTTAACTCTGGTGAAGCCGACAGGTTGACTACAGATTTTCGGAACATCGCAGACCCATTAGAATGATTACCTTTATTTCCGGTGCAAGTGGCAGCATTTTTACCCCAGAAATCATAGACACATGCGGAGAAATGACCACCTCCAGTAGGATAGTAGTTTTACCTACGGCCAAGGAAGTAACAACCGGCTTTATGGCTCAGTGGTAGAGCATTGGGTTATAAATCCGGAGGTCGGGTGTTCGAACCTGGGTTGAGGTGAATTTTTCATCTGTGGCGGAGATGGAAATTACCTTAGACCAGTTCCGAGCATTCTACCGGCTACTCCGAATTAGGTTTTCCTGCAGTTTTCCTAATTCGTAAGGTAAATACCGGAGTAGTATAGACCAACTTAAGACCTTCTGCAGAGGGACCTCTAAATAGCATTATGCCACTCTGTAATTGGGCGCATGCCTGTTGGGGGCCCAGAACAAGAGAGGGATAATAAACTTTCAATAGGACAGCTTGCGATAATAAGGATACCTATACCGGAATTGAACCTTTGCATCGTTCCACCATAAAAGAAGGCCGATACTCAGCAATGGTTAACACGCAGACAACGACGGATCCGAGGAAGGGTAGCCATAGCCCTGAAACCGGGGCAATTTATAAAGATATTCCGAAAAGTAGCAGAGGTTATGGCAGTAGTGCAACTCCAACATTCTCAACATTTTATTTGTAAACACCCTGTATTATGTGTTGTAAAATTCCTCCGTTAGATGTCGCCCTATCCTTTGAAATTAAACCTCTTCTTATTTCCCCACTTGTCTCGTACCGCTCCTTGTCCCTATAAAAACATGATTTTGTAATTCAAAAGGACACTTTTCCTAGACTCTTCCTCAGACTTTCCCAGACTACTCCCCGACCGAAAAACCGGAAGTCATTTTAGTTTATTTCCGTTTCATTATTATTTACTTACCAGATCTGTAATATTTATATTCAGTTACATACCGTTGCCATCTTACTTACCTGTGTTAGCCGTCCTGCATTAGATCGATGGATCTGGCAAACACGACTATAGTGTATCATCCCTGAGTGCTGACAGTACAACTGGTTCAGATGAGTAGTCGTTGAAATTGTTTGTAAGCTTCCACTTTAAGAGCCGTTCGTAAGGTTGAACCTTACCAGACCTTATTGGGGAACCCAAACAAGCAGTGTAGCATTCATTAACACCTATGTCGGGGATCATTAAACCTGAAATTAAGGTTATGGGGGAAACTTATCCAGTTGAAATATTACATTTGCATTACGATGTTTTATTTAACTTAAAATACCACAAGACATAACGTAAAATCTACGGTCCTAACATTATCATCTAGGAGGTCTAAGTCGGGGAGGAGGTGAGTGGTATAATAAACAAGTGTAATTATCATTGTCTCAATACAGTGCAGTACAAGATTAATTTTACTTATATTGTGTAACGTAGATGCTTAGTCAACAATCATCCACTAACCAAATATCTGAAGTAGCATCTCCACCAGGATAACTAAAATTACATCACAATTACTTCAACCTTTTGAAATCGGAGGAACCTACCGCATTTCGTGGGGCAAAAGAGGTCCATCAGGTTCTCCATCAAATTCCACCAAAAAATCCTCGTCCAACGTAATTCCTCCAGTTGCAACGTTCACGTCAAGTTTAACCAAGTACCCTCCTTTTTCGACCATGTCTGGGTAAAATTGGCGGTCCCACGAGGAGTATAAGCTTGAGCTCACGTATAAGCGTGTGCCATCCAAGGATAATTGCAGCATTTGCGGTCCACCATGCATACGTTTACCCTTTAAGCACAACGGATTGGGTTGCGAATCCTCATCTTTTAGAATGGTAACCGGACCATCGTTTACAAGTGATCCCCCCCAGGAATGCTCGACCTACATCCATAATTTGTACGTTTGTCTGTATGCAGGGTGAACGTACCCACGAGTTTAGGGTTCTCACGATCAGTGATATCGTATTGTCTAACATCGCCATGCAACCAGTTGCTGAGGTAAAGTTATCTGTCGTCCAAAGAAATGACAATATCAGTCATCAAGCCTGGCATGTACTCCGCAGTCCAACCTGACACTCTCTTAGGTGCAACGGATATTACTTTTTGGGCATCCCAAGTTCCATCGTCCCGTTTGTAGAACCTAAGGCAATGTCTATTCAATTAATCCGACAGGAGGAGTTTACCTGAACACATTCGCGTTTACAGCGCAGGCAACGTAACCCTGCGACTCCCTAGGATTGTGGAGAAACTTAATTTCGAGTGGGGCGAATCCGTCTCGGCCAAGATCAATAACCTGAGTCAATTCGCGCTTTTTCCAAGAGTAAACGTTTAAACACCTGCCGTAGACGCTATCGTCTACGACGTCTTGAAAACAAAAACCGCGCCTAAATACCTTTGGAGCGGTCCATTCGGACGCAATCATCACGTCATGCAGTGGCTGATACCAAAAGTCATACCCAAACTTTGCCGTCATTCCCCTGGTCCACGCACCTACCGATTAAACTACTAAACCGCCTCTAAGTTTGGTTTATTTCACCTTTTACTTCGAAAGTTAGTCCTTCAAGAATTACAAAGTCGCCCTTTCCGTTTTCTTCATTATCGCCCAGCGTTGATATCATGATTTCGCCCGATGGAAGACAGTGAGTGTTGTGGGGATAGGACAGATCTAAGGCGCTGAGTTGAAACGGTTCAATTGTCTAAAATTTGTACTAAGATCATCTTGTTACAATACGGACGTATCGCAACTTCGCAAATTTCGGGACGTCTGGGATCTTTGCCGGTGTCCACTACGTAGATTCTCTTCGAATTCATGGAAGGCAATATTAGTTTGTCCCGCTTTGGAATTGAACCTTGACATCCCTTCGTTTTATAACAGCTGGAGCAAGTATTCCATCCAAAGTGGTGCAGCTCATCGTTCGCATGATGAGTGTACGTTCTGTGTATGATCTATGACAAGAATGGGTCACTGGGTCTTAATGTGCTGTCATATACCTTGCAGTATGTGGGAGAGTTGGGATCCACGTCGATCGTCGCTAGAAGGTCATGTTTACTGTTTTTATTTTGCGGTTGGACACACGTTACGTAAAGAATTTCTTCACGCGGACCTTTCATAGCATCTAAAGCGGTTGGATATCCAGGACCTAGCACAACCATTACACAAAAAGGTATACTGTAAGTATAAGGTGTTAAATTTGCCTTACCCTTTTCCGTCATTTTGATGATGATACGCCACACAATGTTTATAAAATGTAGAAAAATACCATGTACACTTATCTATTACTGTATAATGATTGATAAAAGGAACCAATGAACCTATTAGAATAATACACACAGAATTTCACTGATTAAAGTAGAATAATAAGATAAATAATTTATCGATGTTTATCTTCTTAGTAGGTGATGAAAGGGCTCTTTACATATCAGAGACTTGTTATATTATTATAGCAAGTCTCTTGTTATATTATTATAGCAAGTCTCTGTTACACGTAGACAAGTTTTCACATCGTCCGTAGACTAGACATTCCAACAGCCTTTTGAGTATCCGTGAAGTTAGCAAAGCACTAACGACGGTACATGATTATATCATTAGTGTTTCTTATTGCTTTATAACTTACATCCACACGACTGACCCCAGCTGCCAGCTGCCACACTAAATCTACAAGTACTGAAGCTTCTCCAAATGTAACAAAATTACCTTGAGATAAGCACACGGTAAGCTCAGGAAGAGTAGAAGTGGGTCAGGGTGACTATCGGAGTTGTTGTACACTAGCAAAAACGAAGCAAAAGGGTGAAGTAATAATAGTAAACCGGATAGGCATCACTTAGTCTTTAGTAAATTTTAAAAGAGAATACTTACCAAAAGGGGGAAACAAGGTAGACTAAGAGATCCGTGTTCTGGTCTTGACAAGCTAAAGAAATAAAATACTTGATAGGGGTAGATTGATGTCACAATCGAGAGTGATTTAATAAATGATAAAAATATTACAAAGAGGAGGCTGTAATATCTAGATCTGAAATGTCAATATTTAAATTTAAATAAGTTTTTAGTAAAAAGGGGATCAACACGTAGACGGAGAAAGTATTAATATCAAAACAGGCTTCCTCCGAGAACAATGACGCTATAATTAAGTGAATATTAAGCAAATGTAGTGATTACAATTCGATTCAATCGAAAACCAGTATGTGATCAAAAGTTATATCAAGGAGTCGTCGAAAATCAAAAAAATTACCCTTGACGTTCAGGTCGCAACATTGTAAACTCAAAAGGGCGCGTTCTGCCTAATCTTTAACAGATAATAGCTCAAATAGACAAATAAGGGGGGTAATGAATAGCGCGCCGCTAAAAATATTGCGATAGCAATTCTAACGTCTGACACGGAGGCAAATCGAATACTAAACCGTAATTAATACTCAATAAATACCTAAACAAAAGCAAAATTACAAATAAATCTTCGCAATCACAAAAATAGTCGTAGGTAATGTTCTTCAGCAACGACAGAAGCCGCGTAAGTAAAATCAGATATATCTGAGCAATTTACAAGAACGATTATTATCAAGGTTTCGTAATAACTTGCGATTAGGCAGATACAACACCAGCAGAAGTGTCCACTTGCTCAGTATGAGTACCCTCTTCCGACACTTCATTTTGGAGATATTCGTTTTGACCTCATCAATAAATATGTCTCGTCCAGAGGATTCATTTTGCCTTTGTGATTACGCTCCTCTCCGACACGTCGTTTTCGAGATATTCGCTCTTAAACTTTTGACTTCATCAATGGATGTATTTTCTCCAGATCGCCCTTGATAAGTACCTCTTCCGACACTTCGCTCTTATGATTTGAGGGATTATAACCGGTCACGATAAAGGATCGGAGAGAAGGACTTTAGTTGGTTGAAAGTAATTATTTTCGTTGAGATTTCTCATTTGAGTACCGTGAAGGGTAAAACCAGTACCCCCTCCCTCCCAACTCTCCATTCTGATAATGGATAAGGGGGAATGGGGGTAGTTGATAGAACAACTGCTTTAGGTGATACTTTTATAGTTAGAATACCATGAAAGTCAAAACCAATTTCTACTATAAACGTCAAATACCCAAAATACTCTATTTCTAAAACGCCAAATTTTAGGTTAAAGACACCACGGAATAGAGATACAGGGTGTTGCATATAAGTATGTAAAACAAGTATAAATGGTGCACAACTCTTGTGCAGACGTCTCAATCACCCTTTGTGAGTACCCTCTTCCGACAATCCGTTGTTGAGGTATAAGGGAATATACCCGATCACGATAAGAGGTCGGGTAGGAGGGCTATGGTTGGTAGAAATTAATTCCTTTCGTTAATACCTTTCATTAGAGTACCATGAAGGATAAAACTAGTTGTTCCACTCCCCCCCTCTCCCTCCACCCCGTACTTTGATAAGAGGACAGAAAGAAGGGCAGCGGTTGGTAGAAAACGTTTCCTTTCGTTGAGACCTGTAATTAGAATACAATGAGAGATAAAATAAATTTTTAACGCCTGCCCCCCTCAGGCCCCGTCGCTCACTGATCTTGAAAAAGAGTCGCACGGGAGAGTTATAGTTTGTACAAACCAATTTATTTCGATGAAACCTTTCATTAGAATACCATGAAGGGTAGAACATGTGTTTCCCCCCCCCCCCCTCTCTCTCATTTCCTAGAGTTTAACTTGGCATCACTAAAGGAATGCGTATGCAAAATCTAAGACCAATTGGTTGTTGTATGTAAAAGTTTTACTTTCAAAAACAGCCTTTCAGAAAAGAATTCGGGGGGGGGGGGGGTGGCTTTTAGACAGCGAATTTTTGATGGCCTGTCTGCAACACCTTCAAAGGATAGGCTACCTACTGCAAAAAATTCCAGGACTATAGGCTACCTACTGCAAAAAATTCCAGGACTCTAGGACCATTCCCTAGAAGTAGTTCAAACCGGTAGAAGTGGGTCCGGACGGACGGACGGACGAACAAAACGCAAACAATAGCTCATTTTTTTAATTCTTAAAAAATGCGCTAACAATTGATAGTAAAGGGGATTAAAACAAGCATTTTTTCCAAATCCACCGAGGGTCCAGCGTGTTTCGTTTGGGCGCCACTCTCAAAAAAGTGGTGGACTTCTGTGGTAGAGTTACAAATACTTGTGGCAGGTCTTTCAATAGATTTTGAAGTACGCCCTTTCCGATTTTGCAAAATTTTTTTCAAAATTCATACCTAGAAAGGGGGCAGCCCTACATGGGGCTGCGAAAAAATTCTGATTTCGACGAAATTTGGTATTTGGCAGTTTTTGAATATGAAAATCACGAATCTGAAATTAGTCTTTTGAAAATTCGAAAAAATACACTTGCAATTCTTGGCCGTGCAACTAAAATGAAGAGAATTCCATGAAATTTGATTGTTTGAACAGTTTTTTTGAAATTACAATTCAAACAAGAATTATACTCATTTTTGTAATATTTTATATATACAAAAATACCAAAATATCCATATTTCTGTTATGCTTTACAATTTTAATAAATCAAATTCATAACCATCGACAAGTAACATAGCAACAATCACCAGAATATACATCTTTTAACACTCGTCCACTAGCCAAATATCGGATGTTACGTCTCCACCAGGGTAGCTGCAATCAAGTGACTCAATTTTTAAGCATTAGGTTCAACCAGCGTACATACCGCATTTCGTGAGGCAACAGAGGACCGTCCGGCTCGCCATTAAACTCTACCAAGAAATCCTTGTCTAGCGACATCCCGCCGTTTTTAACGTCGACATCTAATTTTGCCATAAATCCCCCCTTTTCGATCATATCGGGGTAAAACTGGCGATCCCACGCGGAAAATAAGCTCGAAGTAACATACAGGCGTGTACCATCCAAAGACAACTGCAGCATCTGCGGCGATCCATACAGGCGTTTACCTTTTATGAATACGGGATCGGGTTGAGAGGACAATTCTTGGTCTTCCACGACAGTTATCTTCGAATCGCTCAAAATTGAGCCTCCCAGAAACACTTGGCCTACAATCATCGCGGTAATCATTAGTCGCACAGCAGGGTTGACGCACCCGTTAGTTTTGGGTTTTTACGGTCAGTGATATCGTATTGCCTTACATCTCCGTGCAACCAATTGCTGAAGTAAAGGTACTTATCATCCAGAGAGATTATTATGTCGGTCATTAGTCCTGGCATGTTCTCCCCGACCCAGCCGGAAACCTTCTTCGGCGGTACCGAGATGACCTTATGCGTATCCCAAGTCCCATCGTCCTTCTTGTAGAATCTGCGGTACTTTTCATTAATTGGGGTTTGCACAATGAGCAATTACCTGAAGACGTTAGCGGTGACGGCGCATCCAACGTAACCTTGGCTTTCTCTGGGATTGTGCAAGAAGCGCGTTTCGAGTGGTGCAAAGCCGTCTCTTCCAAGATCGATCACCTGTTTCAGTTGCCGTGTCTTCCACGAGTAAACGTTGATCGACTTGCCGTAAATATCGTCAGTTGCGACGTCATCGAAGGAGAAGCCTCGCTTGAAGACCTTCGGTGAAGTCCATTCCGACGCAATCAAGACGTCGTGGAAAGGCTGATACCAGTAATCGTAACCAAAACTAGCGGTTTTCCCATCGGTCCACGTCCCTAGTAATTGCAATTAAAAACTGTGGCAATGCCTAATAATTTACCTTTCACTTTGTACGTCTTCGCGTCGATTAGGACAAATTCGCCCTTGCCATTCTCTTGATTATCACCCATTGTCGAAATCATGATTTCGCCGGAAGGCAGACAGTGGGTGGTGTGCGGGTAGGACAGGTCCAAAGCGCTTAGTTCGCTTGGTTCGATAACCTAAAAGAGATCTCATCGACTAATTACATGGGGAAGATGAGGTTACCTTGTGTATTTCTGGAGCTCTTTCGTTTTTACCGGTATCCACAACATAAATGCGTTTTGACGTCAGGCTGGGCATGATTAATTTATCTCGTTTCAAGGAGTGATGGCATCCTTTAACATTGTGGCAGCTGGAGCAAACATTCCAGCCAGTGTGATGAAGCTCATCGTTGGGATAACGGGTGTACGTTCTGTGGATGATCTTGCAGTAAGTAGGTGACTTCGGATCTACGTCGACCGTAGCCAAGAGATCGTGCTTGCCTTCCGTACTGTTTGGTTGAACGCATACCACGTAAAGAATCTTTTCGCGTGGACCTTTCGTCATTGCGTCTAGTGGAGTTGCGTATCCTGGACCTGCGGCAAAATTGATAATGATATACTTTGCACGATTTACCGCATAATTTTGATGGTAGTAAAACGCGATTGTATGCTGATTTTTTTAAAGTTATTTCCTATAAAGTTAAAGCCAATAATTCTAGTTTTAAGTAACCTTTAAATGAATGAAACTATTTACTACCCAATGGTCCTCATGCCGTCTAAGTCTATTGCAAAATTTTCTTTGACGGCAAAAGTGCCATTTTTTTCTTATTTATGAATATTTCCTGCCTTATTTCCAAAATAATTCTAGAATATTCTCGTCATGCATATATTTAATTCAATTAATAAATGATACATGAAAGGTCTTACCTGAAAGTACTCTGACAATTGAGGTTCATTAACAGAGGAATATTGTTGCACATTTTTACATCTTTACTCAACGAAATCATTTCATTTCCCCGAAACATTTCTACCCAGTAAGGTACTCTCGAACAGAATGTGATTGACCGACCCCCCAAGCACTTGCTTTACAAGTAAAATATCCATTCGCTCTTTATTTATTACTTCCTAGAAACTATAGTGAATCGAGCGCAAGCCACGAGTTTTTTTTATGTTAATGCTTTCGTTGCACAAACAAAGTTTGTGTATTTAGTCACGATATACAAGCCATCACAGGGGTTATAAAACTGAAACACCCATCTGAAGAATCAAAAGAATTCAAAAAATATTAAGATTCTGAAAAACTTTACGGTTCTGAAGAGTTAGAAAATAAAATAAAAATACGAAAAATCGCGTACGATTTTCAGTAGGGGAACTTTTGATACTCGCATTCGTAAACATGACCTTTAATCCGGCTCATATTCAATAGCACTGATCCTTGATCTCGTAGAAATCGATTGGCGAAGGTCTCTTCTCGTTCGCGGGGACTATCGTAGGGCAGACGGGCGGAAGACACACAAGAGGAATTTCTCTCGAAAAATTCCTCTAAAAACGAAAACAAGTATCAATTGTGCACAACTCTTGTGCAGATAAAGCGCATTTTTTTAACCGAAATAGGTTTTGTTTTGACATCACCAATGGATATATTTCTTGCAGACGCCTCAACCGCCCTTTGTGAGTACCCTATTACGACAATCCGTTCTTGAGGCATAAGGGAATATACCCGATTACGATAAGAGGTCGAGGAGGAGGGCAATGGTTAATTTCGTTGAGACCTTTCACGTCTTATTTTCAGTATCTCAGGAAATAATTCGTGGGGAGGGGGGCCCATTTTAGACAGCGAAATTTGATGGCCGTCTGGCACACCTTCAAGGTATAGGCTACCTACTGCAAAAAATTCCAGGCCTGTAGGACCATTCCCCTAGAAGTAGTTCAAAACGATAGAAGTGGGGCCGGACGGACGGACGGACGGACGGGCAAAACGCAAACAATAGCACAGCAGAAGTTCTAAACATCGAAATATTTCGAAAAACTGCAGATTTCGAAAATCCCTAAGAATCTGAAGAATGAACTTGAAGGATTCGAAGAAACCCAAAGATCCAAAGGACCATAAAAACTTGAAGAAAATGAACAAATGTAAAAATGAGAAGAATTGGGGAGAACCTAAAACATCCGAAGAAACGACTGAACCCAAAGAACCTGAGAAATCTAAAGAATTGAAAAAACTGAAAAATCTAATGGATAAAACTGGACAGCATCAAGTATCCGAATAAGTCGCAGACTTTACAGAATCCTAATAACAGGAGAAACAAGAACAGTCTAAAGAAGCGGAAGAATCCAAAAAGTAGGAAAAAAAATTTGAACAATCTGATTCATGAGAAGCTTCCAAAGGTTTTAAAGCGGTCGATTCTAAAGAATAGCAAATATCCATAAAAATGAGAAATAATCGAAAAAACCGAAGAATATGAAACGTAGGAAGGACATGAAGGATTAAAAAAATTAGCACAATCCTATTACACGAAACATTCCAAAGAGATCCAAAGAATTTGAATTTGAAGAATGAAAAACAGTCTGACAAACCAAACAATCTAAAGGATCTGAAGAAAAATCTGAGAGCTCAAGGAGCTTTAAAATAATCATTACGAGTTTTTGATATCTGAATGTTAAAAACCGTATAATAATCCAAGCTTAGTCGAGAAACGACTGCGCAACTCAAAACCAAAAATCAAAACTTCCGTCAAAGCTAACGGAAGTACATGGCACATGACCATCAAGTCTAGTCTGTGTGTCGCTTTAAGGATCGGCCAACACGAGAATAGCTCTAGGGACTTGATTGATTATAAGGAGGGAAAAGAGCTATTGAAATCATTCCAGGATATGTACGCACTTACGTCCTTACTTCTTTTCTAATTTGCATTTTACAATTTTTCAACCCGTACGACATCGGGGAATTATATCTTTTCTATTATACCTGAATCACAATCTCCGTTTTAAACACTCAAATGCGTGCGAAAAAGGGCCTTTAAAACACACGTGCTTTAAAGTTGCTAAGTAACGATACTTTAAGTATGACTTTTGAAACTGTCATCTGGATGAAATAAAAAATCCTCTTAGGTCGCTTTCTGTAAATGCAGAACATTTCTTTGGCTTGTACCTATCCTTTGGTTGAAGCTTTTACAAACGCGCGTAATTTAGGGTATGCTTCCAAATCTGTTCCACTTTTTAGTCCCAGCAATAAGTGAAGTTTTGAATTAATGCACCAAAAGATAGAAGATTTAAATACCTTTGACATTTCCTTCATATATGCCAGCATTATCGATGCATTTAAGACTTTATTCGTAAGTAACTTCCTATTCATCCTTGGAAACAACTTTTCATATGCTTGATAATAGGCTTTACTGGATTGAGATTTTACACCTACCAACGTTTGTTTAGATAAGCGATTTAATGGACGGTGTATTATCTTTTTCAACGAAAATCGTTTTATTCACAAAGACGACGATTTTTATAAGCAAACGTCAAGTGACATTTCCATGGCAATCGTGAAATTACGAACACCCAGCCCACTTAATTAGACATGTATTCGAGAATAACGTCAATATGACTTCATTGTATTTCCTATTTTTAAATTATACTGCAGGTATAATAAAAAATACTATAAGATACACGTGTATAATTGGTCTTTAAAGCACTTGAAACGTTAAAGGCACTCCGCTTTGCGTCGTGCCCTTAAACTCGTTGCGCGTGCTTTAAAGACTTGATTATACACTTGTATCTTAATATACTATTTCATAATCGTGAGGTAACATCGATATTTAAATTATTGCGCTACCATTTCACGGAAATTAATGTATTAAGACTGCTACGTAACGGATCCGACATTCACACCAAGGGCTCACGGTACGAAGAATACACAAAATCAGTCCTGTGATATATCACTAGCGTTAAACATAACATACAATTAACGCAAAATAACGTTTTTCTGGTAGATAACCTGCACCTGCACCTTGACGCTTCTAAATCATCACAGGGCTGAATACATCATTTTTGTGAATGGTTAAGAGCTCAGGCAGCTGCATTAGGGCATGATCTGCCTCACCATAACAACAATATAGGGGTATGTGCAAGGTTTCGGTTCAGACTCCCGGCTTTGGCTAAGGGTTTTGAGATTCATTCCATAACAGTTTTCATAAAACATAAAAATTCAAATGAAGTCGCGAAAAATAGTCACTGCAAACAAATCTAACAAATATATTACGCCCCCACATAAAACAAACTCCCCGACTCATCGTACAAGCCGATAACAAATATCGTGATTGAACTTTGAAGTCACCTGGGAATTGTTAATAAATACATGTGAAAAGTTCCATAGCACTCTAACTGCATGCACATCTTAGATACCCTAAATTGTCCAAACTCCATTTATATTAATCTCCAATGAAAGCCACCCACACCTGGGGAAAATTCCACCCTACTAAGTACTATATCTTTAACATTCCTTTAACAGATAATAAAATCCACCCTGTAATAAAAATATGCTAACATTAGTTTAGCTAAAAGGAAATTCCTCAAAGCGATTGCATCATAATTCGTAGTAGTTTTTAAAACGTAAATGAAGTGACATTCGCAATGAAACTTCTACGTACATGCGAAAACATTCCGTATGTGCTATCTATAACAAATAAACAAAGCTACCTATTCCTAAATAAGGTCCTTACCTCAACTGTTGCCAATTCAAATTAATAAAAGCCTAATAAAGGGATAAGTTGCTAACACAAAACAATTACCCTACATCCTATGCTAACTACAGTAATTACAATGTACATGTATCTGTATTTGCGAATCAAACGCATACACTCATTGAGAGCAGCCATTCTTCTGCCGCGTCCACTAAAACTTCGCAGCTTTCTCCTTTTAGCTCGAGCGTTTTTTCCCATAATAGAATGCATAAAAGCGGAAACGATCAAATTCAAAAACTATTAAATTTGTTACAGCAGAAGCCTAGGGCCTTTTACCAGCTTTGAAAATCTTTGAAAATCAATGGGTGTCTTTAAAACATGTCTCACAGTTTGTAAGGGCTTGCAAAGGCCTTTTCCTGGCTCTATAAGAATGTTCTAAAAGCTTTCAGAGTTCTTAAAAACATTTAAAAAGCTTTAACAGTCTCCATGAGGATCTACAGGTTATGGAGGATCTGGAATGGTCTTCTAGAGACTTCTGAAAATCACGCCAGAATCCCAAACAAACAATTAATAGCAATAATACTTTAGATGATTGCCATGTAACGAATTGGGGTTCTGACACTCCAGAACTCCGATTACAATTGCACAATTTTATAAATGGGGAGCTAGCATGCGTCATAGAAAAGTTTGCTGATTATGAGATACGAGTAGATTGATGAAACTTCTCAGCTAATGGGTCAAATTTGGAAATACAATACACAATTGCACTAGAATCTTGATAAAGGTGCAAGGTCCAACTCCTAAGAAGCTGATGTCATAAATTGATCTCTGAAGAAAGCAAATGTGTCGAATCCTTGTACAGCTAAAATGTTGTATACGTTATCGAGTAACTGTATTATGATAAATTCGGTATTGCAAGAAAAAGTGCTGACCAATAGTATTGTGATGTAATCTGCGTTTAGATAAGGTAGATCTTAGTTGTACAGATAAAGGACCAGCGGCCAGCGCAGGACTGGTAAAAAATGAAATTACTGCCACCACAAATATTTCTTGCATAATGTCCATTTTCATATCTGGTAAGTTGTCGACGTTTCTTTAATGTGTACCAATTCAAAACTGATTTGATTCAAGAAATACTGACAAAGTGAAATAAACATCTCATAAAGGATAAGGTAAGGCTTATCTTTATTGGAGTTGCAGTTCTCTAAATTAAAGCAGATTATGTATTGGAATTTGCAAAAAATTCCCAAATCTTAGCAAGTACCTCCTCCTCAATTTAAAAAAAATCTGCACCTACGTCCCTTATGTACATTAAGTTTCTAAACAACCGAAACTGAGTAAATGCCGTTAGTAATGAGAGCCACAGTTCACTGTCAAAACATAAATGCCTAATCTAATGGATAATGAAAAATGGTAAAACAATAAACATTGTACGCTTACCTGACATTTTTGTACCAAATTTACTGGGCACAACAAACGAACCAAGGCTATTGTGCGCCTCGCGATACTCAAGTGTATGTACTGTACCTAACCTTGACCATTTATTTATATTGCACGATAAAAATTTAATCTAATATTTAAACTGTGGGCGGTTGCTTGGCGAGACAAGAGGTTTTGGTCAGTTGAATGTGGTGGTGCGAAACAAACATATTTATTTTGCCATAGGACGTGACTTCGACTTTAGTTCATCATGAGGAATGTCGGTAGCCTGTGGCATTTTTTTTATTGACCTGTATTTAGAAGGTTAAACAATGTGCGTCTACTCCCTTGATGAGAAGTAAGACCTGCGCCTTTCAGAATTACTTTAACAAATTTTCCATGTCTTTCCATCCTGACCTTAGACTTCCTTTTTTCATACTCTTTTTATTGCAGGTTTTTCAAATAAAGCAACATGCAAAATATATATTATATAATATTATAATAACGTAATATCAAAAAAATCGACCTAGAGCGATATTGTTTGACTTTCAAAGGTGTTTGAAATGGCATTACATACTCATCTATGGCCCCCTTTAAGATCATGAATTTCAGCATTTCAACACGAATTTGTAAAAAATCGCTAATTAACGTACTCCCCTTCATGGGGAAGGTATCACACCGGTTATTGATCGTCGTGGTGAAATAGAAGTTATCTACACGACACGTCGACTGCATTTGATAGAGTTGATCATTCCTTACTAAAAAGGAAACTGATAGATTTAATAAGTTTCAATAGCCCACTTCTAATGCTTTTTGCTTCATATTTCTCCAACAGATTAAAAGTCTCTTATCATGAATAACACTCAAACTATTTCAGGGCTACTTCGGGAGTGCCACAAGGCCCAAACCTAGGACAGCTACTATTAATATTTTTGTGAATCACCTCCTAGACGGCCTTAAAGTCATTGTGCTGACCAGCCATTTCAGTAATGGATAACCCGGGTAAGTTTAAGATTACCGTTTCAGCCATACATCACTTCTACCAGGGTGCCATTCGCTTAAAAGTTCTATGGTGCTGCAGATATTTCAATATTCTATTTTAAAGCCAATTCCCTAGACAATCCAAAAATTAGTTCTAGTTTTATCAATCTGTGGACCACCTCTATTTGATTTAAAAAATACATGTTTCATTGGAACAACATTATTTTAATAAGCAAATTTGTTTAAAATCTAAATATTCGAAGCGTTATCTAATTTTTGCAATAAATTCGTACTTATCACGGTGCAAGACGTTTATTTCATTACGGCTAATTTCTACATTAGAAAAAAATTATTCTAACTCAAAGAATGAGAGAATAATTAGTGCTTAATTTCTGCATAAGAAAAAAATTATTTACACAAAAGTCAGCGGCTACGCAAAGCTGACGGGGTCAATCCAATTTTTGAAATAAATAATAAATAACTTCTAGACTTAATTATTTATGTTACAGGACGTGACAATAGAGTTCTGAATTAATTGCGTTAATGTATTCTGTCGTGCTCAACCGCCGCGCTGATAGTAAAAAAACACGATACTAGTTTTGTAACCGTTCCGGTGGAGATATTTACATTTTTAGCATCCGAAAGCTCTCGTCATTTAGGAAGATTAATATTTTGTTATTTCCGTTTTGTTTATTAATTCTTAGAAGATTTTAGTTTTTCGTCGTTAATGTAAAACAGTAGATAAGCAGATCTCTCGCTTGACCCGAGAATTGCAATCAACAATTGGACTAATTTTGGAATTTCAACCCGACCAATTAAGTAAGCATAATTAGTCATTGGAAGTGCGCTAATTTATCAAGATCTTGAAGCCGGTTTCCAGATTTTTAGGATGTCAGGGAGAAGTTTTAATGTTGTGCGTTATCATACGGATTCACCGTGATTTTTGGAAAGTGCAACGTTTCCCTATCCGAATTTGCGGAATTCTATAAAAGATAAGAACGTGATTAGAAGGGATCTTCTGTATTTTCAATTTTGGTAAGTTGAATTTGGTATTTGATTTAAATGTTTACCGCACCGTTAATTGCAAGGTAGGTGTTTAACATTAATCATTATTTTAATTCTCCGTCTGAATGTTATGTAGCTTCCGAAATTCCGAGACCGTCCCACCGACCTTGGACAGGAGCAAGGATTGATAATCTCCTGGTGGCGCTCGAGATTTCCGCAGACGTTTCCACCGTCTGTTGTTTTAAATTAAATTTGCCAAGGCACCGTTTTGCGTAGATTGCCGAACGTTTTTCGCATAAAATTTGGCGTCCGAGGAGGGGCAAATGAACCGTTTTAACCCTTAAGCAGGAGTTGAACTTCCACTTGCAATTACACATAATTTGACAGCTCATACGCCGACCATTTACCCATTGGTTACGCTAGAGGGGTGTACGACCGATCCGATAATACTGTAGCTACTCGAGGATGTACGCAAAAACAGGAGCCCCACAGAGTTCATTTCGTAGTTCATTGTTCTGCAACTGTAGGTCACGCACAGTATCTTTTTGAATTTAACTATTATTCATCCCCACATAAGCAAAGCTGTACCTGTGGAAAAGATTCATAACTGCGTACGTCGGCGTCGTACGTTATTACTTTTTAAATTTCTTTGAAGTTGTTTTGGTGCAATATCGTTGACCTACTTCATTGACGCGTTTGTGGATAATATTTTATAAGTTTTAAAAGCCGCTAGGTATGTATTTTTGAGATGACGCAACAATCAATTAACATTGAATATTTCTTTTAGGATTTTTCTTTTGGTTTTCTCTTGTCCTCCTCGATTTCTACATTGAACGTTTCGAATATTACGATCTACTTCGATGTCCTTAGTGAAATATCTACGTGGAGTTTCGATACCTACGATTTTATGTACGTCAAATTTTGTCGTTACGAAAAATTCATGCCTACTAGCTTAATTACGTTTCAAATCCTTTAGTTTTGTTTTACGAAAATATTTAATTATTTTTAAATTGTAAATTAGTTTCTTGAAATTACGTTACATTTATTTTTACCGCTACTGATTCCACAACTCGTTTTCGAACAAAATTTTGTATCTGCTTTTTAACGTCATTTGAATATATTTTATGCCGTGTTCTCAATAATCCCATTCTTTTGTTTTGTGTTTATATCTGATCTAGGGATGCAGTACTGGGCTCGTAGGATCCCGAAATACTGGGATCCCGCAGCATTTTTGAGGGATTAATCCCGTACGTAAATGGAGCGGAATCCCGAGGGATTGCGGATTTTATCGACCAAGCGGTCACCATGTTGTTTAATTTATTAACAAAAGGCGAACGGAAAAGTGCAGCAGATGCCTACAGGTCGTTCGTCAATCGTAAGGTCATTGGCTTTCCGTTTTTCTATACATTCGCACACTCCGTGAATTATTATTTCGTCCTTTTTTGTTGACGTTCATCCAATAATTACGCGCTAACTTGTATGTGTAATTAACTTTGTTAAACAGCTAGTGAGTGCGAAAATCTGACTTGTTTTGTTACTGTTTGGAACATAGGCACCGTCATTTCCAAAAAAGGAAACAATAAAGTTGCAAATTTTCACGGCGTAACTCAGCGATGATTCTATAGTCGGTCCGTGCGGAGCGCAGCGCCAATTTTATTTGGATTGACAGCCGTAAGCGGAAAGCATCGAGAGCTCTTGGTGCACAAACAATAAATGTATTTATGAACAATTGTTCCATCGCGTTGTAGTTTCCGTCGGGTTACCATTTGTTGTTAATTGCCCCGTTATGTATTTGAAGTAGCGTCGTAGCGTATTGATTTAATTACAAACTATTAAAGAGATCTACACCACCACGTTGAACAAGGCTTAACTGTTGCTTTACAATTCAACATAGTTTTTGTAATAAAACACATTAAAAATTAGTGACACAATGTTGTTATTTGCAAACAAATTGCGAACAATCATATTTGGTAGCCTCCGATGGTTCACGAATGTGGAACTCTCATATCGCTGTAATGAGGCGTTTCAACTTGATAGGCAGGTTCGTCATTTTCAATAAGCCACACGGATCCACTCTGACCATGTTTTATTATTGCAGTAAGCTCCCTCGCAACGTTATTAGCCCTATCACAAGAAATTTAATAATTGCGGATAGTTAATCTACTAACATCCTTACGACTGTAATTGGAATTTCTTCATCACCTCGGTATGCATTTCGATTTGTTTTTTGCTGAATCGCTCTTCCATATTTTCCAACAAAAGCGGCGTTGCAGTACATCCTGGACAAATGGTAATGACTTTAACCGCAGTACTTTCGTAGTGTCCGTGTAGACCAAGCGAACGGCCCAGTCCCACAATGGCGTGCTTCGTCGTGTTATAAAACGGGGTATGTCCGGCAGTTTGCAGTCCCATAATCGACGATATATTAATAATCACGCCTTCTATGGCACGCCTGTACCTTTGTAAGTAATCTAGAGCCAATAAACATCCGTGTATAGTTCCATTCTAGAATAAAATAGGTTTCCATCTCTCCATCCGTTTCTACAAGCACTTACAATGTTCGTTTTAATCATTCTTTCCCATTCTATTTCGTTAAATATTCCAGCGCTGTTAATCACGATGTCCAAATTGCCGAACTTCTCCACAGTTGCTTCGAAGGCGCCTAAATTCAAATTACGTCAATGTTAATTTTACCATTGACAATGAAAGCAATACAACAGATTCCAAAGTGAGAGTCTCACCTTTAAACTCGGTCACATTTCCAACATCCGCTTTAACGAAGATGGCTCTATTGGCTCCAAACTCCTCAATAACTTCTTGACCAACTCTGTCACCGGCGGTTTCATTAAAATCCACCACTGTAATGGCCTAATCGGGAATATAGAAGAGCAAGTGGATTTACCAACCTTTAAACCATTGGCCATCAACTCCTTAACGATAGACAAACCGATTCCAGACGCTCCTCCAGTAATTAACGCGACTTTTCCTTCCAATTCGAACATGTTCCTCACATTATATAAGAAGTCGGTCAAATTTGAGAAGGTTTCTTTATCAAACGGTTTAGTGATAATCGTTATCTTTCGAAGCACTCGGATAAGAATAATGCAAAGTATTACAAGGTGTAATTTGAGCAATTTTGTTGTTTGTTATTGAAAGATGACGTGGATATTACATTCGTATTCTGCCCAAACATTCTCTTCCATAATCCCAATGTTTCGTTTTCAACTACTTTCAAGTATTCATGGTTAATGACGAAACGGAGCATACATTTTCTGGATAAAATTTCCTATTCGGATTTTTATCATTTATATCATTTTTTGATATGGTCAGAGACGAATTTCAGCACACGCAGGTGCTGCTCTTCCACTTAACCTCAGTGAGTGTTCGACGTTAAGTCAATGGTGTTTTAAGTGATTTCTTTCCCTGTTATATACGTTCCAGTTTAGCTGCCCGTGGCAACATTATGGTTCATTTTAACCTTTTTCGAGGAAGTTGAAGATGATCACTTTACGGAAAGGTTGTAAGTAAGAATTCCATAATATAGTATGGATCCCCCCGTGTCTCAACTTTAAGTTAATTGCAAGTACCTACATATCAATTATATTTGGTTGAGAATCACTGTCATTTTTTTGGAGAACCACTGTATTCTTCCAATTTGTATAGTATTTCGTCCTAGCGCCGTGGATTCTCGAAAGCGAGTTGATTGCGCATATTAGCTTTCGTTTCCTTTTCATTCATTTTTGGTGCTGCTGCTGGTCTAATTGCAAAATCTTTAAATATTATTTCTGGCGATTAACCAGTTGTGGTGTATTTCTCGAAGGAATCGAGTTATGCACTTTTCTCTCAATTTGGAGGATATAAAATTTTATTCAATACGTAAGTGGCTGCCATTTGCTAAGTGAATTGTTATCTCGTGTATTCCTTTTAAGATTACACTATTCGCAGTTTGAAGGGATTTAATTGTCAACCGTTGTCGTTTTGGCGTTTTATTGTCATAATTAACCCTCTTCTTAACTTGAGGTGTATACGTCTCGTCAAATCTGTCACGTACCACAATCACTATATCGTCGGCATAAGCAACTATGGTGTAGCCCGCCTCACTGAATGTCCTCAGCAGTCCGTCGACCGCCAAACGCCACAGCAACGGAGAGAGAACTCCCCCATGCGGGCATCCTCATGCAGCCGGAACCACTACAGCCTTATGTTAAGCGAGGCTGTAATATTCCTATGTTTTAGCACGGTATGTATCCATCTATACACGGTGGTACATATACTCCCTTACTTTCTATAGCAGCTTTAATCGATTCTAGAGTGGTATTGTCGAATTGTCTCTTTATCTAAAAACGCCCCTAAAGCCATCTCCTTATAGGAGATCGCCCTTTCAGTTACGTCAACTACTCCATGGATTGGTATTTACTGATGGTTTCCAGCCCTACAACCTCATCCCTTATGTGTCGATCAATAACTTTCTCCATTCGTTTTAGGAGCAACGACGTTAGACTAAGGAGTCTAAGCGACTTCTACGTCCATCCATGTCACAAGTGTGTATCCAAAAGCCCTTAGTAACATACATAGTGTGGAGGCTAGTAGGTCGAGATAGCAGAGTAGAAAGGATTCCATCCATCCCTGGGAATTTATATGGAGGGAAACTGCCCACCTAACTTTGGTTAGGTTCACTATCTACCGAACCAAAACCCCATCTCTTCCCTTCCCTTTGAGGAGTGGTTCCAGAGTAATTGGTTTGCCCGCATCATTTTGAGGAAGGGTTTTGATCCTAGTGTGATTGAAGCTAAATCTTCAAGGTCTCCTTTGCGATCTTTGTATAACCCCCCTCAAATTTCTTCAAGGAACCTATTCTACCATCTGTGCCTTTTTGTACAGCTTTTTGGAGTGTGGCACCTTCTGGAATTTGTCCAATTTCCTCACAGTACCTCCTAGACGAGTCACGTTTTGCCTTTCTTATGATATTGTTCTCGGTGTACACGGCTCCCCCGTGTTTTTTGCCTTACAAAAACATTGCTAACCTGTACCCGCAATCAAGAGATTCCCTTGTGCCACCGGAGCACTTTGTTAGAAGTTCTCCTTTCTTTTGTGAGACAGCTTGCCTGAGACCATGCGAAGATTTGATTTCATGACTTCCAGTTCCACCGAGTTATTGACTCCTGCGGAACAGTTCTCCAAATTGGTCTTCCGGTTCTCTTCAATAGAGGTCCCAGTTGGTTCTTCTCGGATTTCTAGATACGGCTTCAGTCACTTCGTTTGATCGACTGTCAAAACGAATATATCCATGGTCAGATCCCGTTTGGGTACTGAACAGCATGCAGTCACAGTTCCAAACGTTATGTTAAAGAAAAAAAACACAAGTAACCACTGATGCGTTTGGGTCGGAATATAAAACTTCACGGAAGGATTTTCAAAAATGCATTAGACTAGCAAAGGATCAAGCATGGGAGAAACTGATGAAGGATCCTATGGGTGAAACGCTACAAAATAGCGTACAAGAAATTTTTGCCTGAAATACCGTCTTCCGAATAAGAAAAAAATAACAGTGGAGGACTGGTTTCCAAAAGTGCAAGTGATCATCTGGAACGATAGGTGCCGATAACAGGCATGGATCTTTTTTGATAAAAGGGAACTTGGGGTAGTGGTCAATAAATTGCGTTACAAAAAGGCACCTGGGCCGGATGGTATTCCAGTCAAAGCCAATGGAAGAAAAATGTTGGAAACGTTTAATGGTCTGCTATCCAATTGTGACAGATCTGGATCTGGAAGAAATCCATCTTGGTGCTCGTGCCAAAAGCGATCGAAAGGTGAAACCAACGAAGTTCGGGCCTTTCTGTCTGCTGGAAGCTGTAGAAAAATTGTGTAAACACTTGAAAAGGGAAAGAATTTTGAAGCACCTAGAGGAAAAAGGGAATATCGGAAAATCGGCTCGGTTCTATGGAGGGGAGATCCACTCTGAATGCTATGAAAGTAGTTTTAAAGTTTTCGGGATCGCGGGGATAAAAAAACTTTTGCCTGCTGACGACACTCAAAGTAGAAAACGCACGTCACTCGATAA